ATCCAGGCGTTGGTGTGATGGGAGGCACTCAGGCTAATAACTGTAAACGACACTGACCTGTAAGACAAGAAATCATGCAATTAAAACCTGAAAATGCGCATTTCTGCACACCTTGCACGTTGCATACTGGCTCCCACTGACAATCGGCATTTTTATATAGCTAATAATCACCGTGTAAGTCCAATGTTTTAGATATAAGCGCTAAGATAAAACATAAATTAACATATTTACCCTTTGTTCCATTGCACAAGTTAAGCAAAACACTAAGGGTTCAAAGACTGACCTGTTAAACTGCCCTGCCCCCTTTTGCTGTTTGTTGTTTATGTCGATGTTTAGCTAGCTTGGCTCCACAACGGCCTCCTTTTCCACACTCCCGTTAAAAATGCAAAAAACCGGAACATGTACACCAAAAACTCACTAAAACACAAACACAGTGGAGCAGAAAAGGCACCGACTCGGTCCTTATGTGTGGCGTGAACTACTAGAAAGTAGGCCGGACCAACTTAATGCAAAAAAAAAAAAAAAAGATCATGGAAGGCTCGTCAACTTTCCAGAACGTGCGCGTGCTACGTTCAGATGCACAGGTGGATTGTGGGAGAAGTAGTTAAATACGCGGATGCTCCCTACAAGACTCTTTGGTGTAAACCATCGGTGTAAACGTTATTGGAAACACAAAGAAGTTTAATTATGTATAAACATTTTTATCAGAGTTGTACCTTCAATCATTTTTACTTTATTTAAATGTAAAGTTGTCGAATAACGCGAGAATTAAAAATTTAAAGGTAGGCAGAAAGCGTGACCCTTAAGACCCGCCCTCCTCAAACTCTGATTAGTTGCTTTGTCAAGTTTCTTTTCAACAGACCAATCGCCTGCGACAATTTTCTTTTACTACTTCCTGTTTATGTTGAGAGACGCAACTAGTACTTAAAGAGACTCCGATATTTCGTTTCGTCATCTCAAATGACGGGTCATGTGACATCGACATACCTCTTCCTTTTCCCCTTATTTTCTCAAGCAACTCAGATTTTTCCACGCTGCACACTGAGAAGGTAACAAGCTGCCTGTAGTGATTAATGTTGAAAATGTATCGCCCAGATAGTTTTTAATCCGTCTTATTTTTCGTTTTAGGTGACGTAAAATGCTGCCTTTGGTTATAATTATTGGCCTGTTGGCTTTTGTTTCCACCAAACCATGTGGTAAGTAAAAAAAATATATATATATATATATATATATATATATATATATGTGTGTGTGTGTGTGTGTGTGTGTGTGTGTGTGTGTGTGTGTGTGTAAAACATACAATTTCTAGACCTACACATTTTGTTTGACTGCTATGTGTACGATCTTGTGTCTTCATCTATATTCCTTCTGCTAAACGAGCTGTGTAACAGTTAGACTTCTCATGCATGGCATAATAAAGGTTATATGTATATATATATATATATATATATATATATATATATATATATATATATATATATATATGTATGTATATATATATATATATATATATGTATATATATATGTATGTATATATATACACACATATATTTATATATATATATATATATATATATATATATATATATATATATATAAATGTGTGTGTGTGTGTGTGTGTGTGTGTGTGTGTGTGTGTGTGTGTGTGTGTGTGTGTGTTTGAACAGCTCAGAAATTGTGATGCAATAGAACTTTCACAGATTTTGCAATGTGATCTTGATTCCTTGTATTTTGGTTGGTTTGCGACTCACATCACCTAGAATGAGTCGCTTTGTCATATTTTAATCTTAAATGCTTAAAAAAGTAAATATGAAAGAAAAACTTGGGAATTATAACACATTCATGTAGATTTTGTTATTTAGTCTGAATTTTTTATATATTTTTTTATTTTGATGATTCAGCTATTGGTGTTTTGCAGTGCTTTAGAAGTCATTGCTGATGTCAGCAACAGAGGAGAGTTGTTTGTGAAACGTCTTTTAATCAAATAACTTTTATTCTTACCTTTTATACATCTTTTATCCAGATACTGATGGATCCAACCAAGAGCTGCTCCTGTCACTCAACAAGAATCTCCTTCGCTCCCTGGCAACACAGGAAGGACTTCCCAATCCCAGTGTCCACTTGGCACTTCGCCTTTCCAGTCACCACAATCTTGCTAAGGAGCGAGATAACCTTAATAGACTGAAAAATGAATTGCACAATAGCATTCAAAGGTATTTCATTCCATTTTGTGAATTAGAAAATGCAGCCTTCTATCAAACTGATTGTCTCACCTCAGCCTGAACTTGTGCCGACTTTCAGCTCACTCACAAACAGCCAGCCTGTGACTGGCATCATGGCTCTGTACAGTCTGGCCTTAAAGTCGTCCTGCTATGACCTCAACACCATCACCTTCACTGTAGGCGACAAGAGTGAGATGCTGCTGACTAACCTAAAGAAGCAGATGGAACAGGAGAAAGAACATATTGCCTGTAAGATTTCATTTCACCTTTTTATGTATTAAAATGTGTTGAATCCCGATTATCACCATGAAACACGAGATCCCCGATCTGTGGAATAACTTATTTTTTGTTTTAGACATTTTGTATTTATTTTCTTCCTGCAGTCAGCCACCGCCCTTTGACCAACTATTACCAGTACAGCCTGGGTGTGCTCGCTCTTTGCGTGAGCGGCATCAGGGTCAACAACCATGTCAGCCACAAGCTCATCAAAGCTGCTGAACACAATAATTTCAAACATGGAGAAGAAGAGAGCGTTGGTGGGTTAATCTCAACTCATGTTGTTAAAATAGTTTTTGGGTGAAATATATGTTGTAGGAACATGCCGTCCAGGATGCCTTTTGATCCTGATAATTAAAGAGAAGCTATAAACATACATTTTTTATGACTTTCCTGGTCTTTGATTTTTCATTTTATTTTGAGAAGACTCGTCCGATGAGTGTTTAATCACTTATCTCTGTCTGTAGACACTCAAGCCATGGCTGGAATGGCCCTCCAGTGTGTGAAGGACTCTGGATTTTATTCACACAACCCAGCTGAGCTTGACACATCTCTTGAGAAGATCAAGCAGAAGCTTCTGGAGTCCCAGAGAACTGATGGTCACATTGGCAATGAGTTCAGTACAGGCCTTGCAGTTCAAGTAAGTAGTTATTTATCCTTTTTTTTTTATACAATCATCTGTTTGTTTTTGCAGAAAACATTTTATACATCATTATTTAGTAGCTTAATGTACATATTTGATGCATTCAAGGCCTTATTGGCAATGGGCACCAACGTTGAAGAGTGTGCTGCTTCAATGGAGGCTATGAGGACAGCTGCTAGAAGCAACACATACCACAACCCGATGGCCATTTCTCAGACACTTCCTGCTCTCCAGAAAAAGTCCTATCTAAATGTGAAAAGCAAGGAGTGCCTCAATGAGGATGGTATGCTTATAGGTGCCTTTGATTGCAGTTTTTATCTGTTTTCTCTAAGATTCCTCGTGTTTTTACTCTCCTACAGACTCTCTGGTGCTGGAGATCCCTGGTCCTACTGTGGCCCCAAGCAAGACAGAAGTTAGGGTGATGGTGGAGGTGGTGACGTCCAGTGGAGCCACAGCTGCTTACTCTGTGGAAGTGCCAAAGGGCAGCTCGTTGTTGGACGCCCTTAACCTGCTTTCAATGAAAAATGTTGGCTTTACGTGAGTTCATCTATTAAGCTTTTGTCCAGCTAAAAGTGGTGAGTGACATGTGATGTTTTGTGGCAGGTTTGAGCAGGAATCCAGTCTGTGGGGACCTTTCTTAAGTGCGGTAAACGGAGAGCAGGCCAGGCAAAGCGATCGCAGATACTGGCACCTTTCATCTGATGGCATTGCACTAACTGAGGGTAAGGACAAACACTTAACTATCTGTTAATTTGATGTTAGTTGACTAAAATGTGGTTTACGTTTTTCAGGTGTCAGCGATTTCAAGATTGACAAGGTCCAGAAGATCACCATCCAAAACACAAGCTACTGAAGATACAACAAAGATTGCAATTTAGCTCAGAATTGTTTTGATGCTTTGTTTTATTACAGATTTGCACCCAAATTTTCTAATTCCATCATGTATGAGATGCTTTACAGAATGTTTGCATGAAAAATGGACAGAATACTTCAATAAACCTTTAATTTAGTATTACTGGAACTGTTCTTGCCCTGAATATTTCTAGGTTTTTGTTCTGAAGGCTAGATTAGACTAGTTTTCATATTAGAAAATACACAATAACTTTAAAGTTAACCTTTTTTGTTCATGGGAGGGATCAAAAGTTAATTGAAATTAGCTTTAAATCACCTTTGAAGAACCTGTGTACAGACCTGCACAAGTGCCTTGAAAGAAACAAATAGTGAAAAAAAAGTATTTAAAGTAACTACAATAATGTGCATGGTAATGGGCTTGTTCGAGTTGAGCAGCGCCTCGCCTGGAAAACAGACGAGAGCAGACGGACGCAGCAGGGGGAGTGGCTGAAAGCCAGTGTTCCGACTATCCATGCTCCCCGTCAAAATGTGCTAATTTAAGGAAATGCGCATGCGCCGGCCGATGATTGCGTCACAGGCTGTTTACAAGTCGAGACGCACTACCTGTGGAAGGTTACGTTTAATCTCATCACTTATCACGAGGATCTGCTGGGAACGTCTGGCAGAATCTCCTGTCAGAAGGAGCTTCAATTCCCAACTCCGACAGAACTTCCAAAATGTTCCGTGGGAGGCGGGGGACATTGAGTCTGAATGGACCCTGTTCTGTGCCTCCATTGTTGAGGCGGCCGACCGGAAATGTGGTCACAGGATAGTCGGTGCCTGTCGTGGTGGCAGGCTGGTGGGGGCTGCAGTGGCTCAACAGGTTGAGCAGGTTGTCCAGTAATCGGAAGGTTGCAGGTTCGATCCCGGCTCCGGACAGAGAATTCTGCTGTTGTGTCCTTGGGCAAGACACTTAACACACCTTGCCTGCTGATGGTGGTCGGAGGGACTGGTGGCGCCTGTGCTCGGCAGCCTCGCCCATGTTAGTGTGCCCCAGGGCAGCTGTGGCTACATCGTAGCTCATCACCATCAGCGTGTGAATGGATGAATGATACACTGTAGTGTTAAGTGCTTTGGAGTCCTTACTCTGTCTGAGAGGCGCTATACAAGTGCGGGTCATTTATCATTTAACCCCTGAACCTGCTGGTGGACACCGGCGGTTAGGGGTGCTGTCAAGCTGAAGAAAGAGCCCTATCAGGTCTTTTTGGTCTGTGGGACTCCAGTGGCAGCTGACGGGTGGTCGCCGAGGCAAAAAAACAGGCATGGGAGGAGTTCGGTGAGACCATGGAGACTTCCGTACGGCTTAGAGGAGATTCTGGTCCACCATCCGGTGCCTATAGTGGGGACGGTGTGCTGCTGACTTCTACTCAGGACGTTGTGGATCAGTGGGCAGAATACTTCGAAGCCCTCTTCAATCCCACTGACACGTCTTCCAGTGAGGAAGCAGAGTCTGGGGACTTTGGGTTGGCCTCTCAAATCTCTGGTGCTGAGGTCACTGAGGTGGTTAAAAAGCTCCTCTGTGGCAAGGTTCCAGGGGTGGATGAGATCCGCCCGGAGTTCCTTAAGGCTCTGGATGTTGTTGGGCTGTATTGGCTGACGCGGCTCTGCAATATCGCGTGGACATCTGGGGAATTCCCACTGGACTGGCAGACCGGGGTGGTGGTTCCCTTATTCAAAAAGGGGGACCGCAGAGTGTGTTCCAACTACAGGGGAATCACACTCCTGAGCCTTCCTGGTAAGGTATATTCAGGGGTTCTGGAGAGGAGGGTCTGTCGGATTGTTGAACCTCAGATTCAGGAGGAGCAATGTGGTTTTCATCCTGGCCGTGGAACACTGGAGCAGCTATATACCCTTAGGGCAGTGGTGCCCAATCCTGGTCCTGCTGGATACCGGCCCTCCAGGACCAGGATTGGACACCCCTGCCTTAGGGGGATCCTGGAGGGTGCGTGGGAATTTGCCCAACCAGTCTACATGTGTTTTGTAGATTTGGAGAAGGCGTTTGACCACATTCCTCAGGGGGCCCTGTGGGGAGTACTCCGGGAATATGGGGTACCAGGCCCTCTGATATGGGCTGTTAGGTCCCTGTATGACCGGTGTCAGAGCTTGGTCCGCATTGCCGGCAGTAAGTCGGGCTCGTTCCCAGTGAGAGTTGGACTCTGCCAAGGGTGCCCATTGTCACAGATTCTGTTCATAACTTTTATGGACAGGATTTCTAGGTGCAGTCAAGGTGTGGAGGGCATCCGATTTGGTGGCCTGAGGATCAGGTCTCTGCTTTTTGCAGATGATGTGGTCCTGTTGGCTTCATCAGAACGTGATCTTCAGCTTTCGCTGGAGCGGTTCGCAGCCGAGTGTGAAGCAACTGGGATGAGAATCAGCTCCTCTAAATCTGAGACCATGGTCTTGATTCGGAAAAGGGTAAAATGCCTTCTCCGGGTAAGGGATGAGGTCCTGCCCCAAGTGGAGGAGTTAAAGTATCTCGGGGTCTTGTTCACGAGTGAGGGAAAACTGGAGCGTAAGATTGATAGGCGGACTGGTGGTGCATCTGCAGTGATGCAAGCGTTGTACCGGTCTGTCGTGGTGAAGAGAGAGCTGAGTCAGAGGGCGAAGCTCTCGATTTACCGGTCGATCTACATTTCTACCCTCACCTATGGTCATGAGCTTTGGGTAGTGACCGAAAGAACGAGATCGCGGATACAAGCGACCGAAATGAGTTTTCTCCAAAGAGTGGCTGGGCTCTCCCTTAGAGATAGGGTGAGAAGCTCGGTCATTCGGGAGGGGCTCGGAGTAGACCCGCTGCTCCTCCACATCGAGAGGAGCCAGTTGAGGAGGCTTGGGCATCTGGTCAGGATGCCTTCTGGTGAGGTTTTCCGGGCACGTCCAATCAGGAGGAGACCTAAAGGTAGACCCAGGACACGGTGGAGGGACTATGTCTCTCACCTGGCCAACGAACGCCTTGGGATTCCCCCGGAGGAGCTGGCCCAAGTGGCTGGGGAGAGGGAAGTCTGGGCCTCTCACCTTAGGCTACTGCCCCCGCGACCTGACTCTGGATAAGCAGATGTAGATGGATGGATGGATGGACTTATCTAGTTACTTTCAATTTGTCGAAGGTCACAGTAAGTATTTCTTTAAGTTGTTTTATTAAATTACTGCTTGCTATATGTTTACCTGACAGTTAGCTTGTAAATGGCTTCTAAAATATTATTATACTGTAAACAAGAATTATCTCCCATTGTTTACAGTCATTCTGAAAGAGTCCCAAATTAATATCCAAAAGTTTTATATTATACTTATACTAAATTTATCAAAGTTGTATGATAATCTCCAAAATTATACATTCAAACAAATAACTATAAGGGTGAAAGCATATTTGTTCTATGTGGATTAATTTGTCTAATAAAGGATTAGGTAGAGAAATAGAACGGTAAGAGCTAACGTCTTACAAATCTCCAATTTTATGAATCACTTTCTCGACATGGGTGAAAGTAGTTGGTAAATTGTCATTGTTCTGAGAATATTCAAATGTTTTTAGCAACTAAGGGGTTAATTTTTACGACATGACTAAACTGCTTCTTACACTATCCATTTTATTTTTTTCATAAAATAAATTAACAGTAGCTACCGATTTTCAGTAAACCTGGACATACCGAATCAGCTGTTGAAATGCTCGTTGGTAGGAAAATTCAATGAGGAAGCACGAATAGTCAGAACACCGGCGTTTAAGCCAAACAGATTTCCCGACATGTGTAGCTCGCGGGTGACGACGGATGAAGATATCGCGTTAGAGTTCATACTTGTTTAATTTATTATTTTAATTCTTGTACCTGTTAGCAACTGAAACACATCCTCACATGCTTGTGGATATAATATAATGCATTTGATGTTTTAAATGCTGACCTTGATCCTTTAGGCCATTACTGTTTACTTGTTGTTTCAGTTAATTGGACCATCTTGCTACTTATTAATATATATGGATATAATTCTTACTGTGAATCTACAACTTTTCTTCAGGCTTTGGAATCCAAAATGTTTTATTGGCTTCAGAAATATCCAACAGCTGGAATTATCTTAGGAGGAGACTTTAATTTGACAATAAATAGTAGAATAGACAGAAGGCCACCTAAAACACGCTATCTCCTCACCCTCGTCTACTGGTCCTCATGGATACATTCAATCTTGTGGATACGTGGCGAAACAAAACCCTGAATCTTGTGTGTATACATGGTCGAAAAAAGACTGTTCTAGGAGGTCTAGGATTGACTATTGGCTGCTTTCTAAATCTTTAATTAACGATAGAATCTCTACTGATATTATTATTTGCCCTTTGATCACAAAGCGATTAGCATGTCAATCACCCTGTCCTCTTGCTCATTTCCCAAAGCTTCTATATGGAAACTTAATAATTCTCTTTTGAAATGTAAAGAGGTGAATAAAATTATCCCTGACTTAATTAAAAAGTTTTGGACTAAAGCATTAACTGAAAATATATTTAGTTGCAATTGGAAAGTATGTACATTTGAAATAGGTAAATATTTCAGGCAACTTGGCAGTAACCTGGTAAAAGCTAGACAGGCGGAAGAGAATGACACTCTCGTTAAACTTTCTTCTTTGTTACAACAAGCCGTTTTCTCAGACACAGAAAGATGTGAATTTCATAAACTTCAAGAAAAATTAGATGAAATTTATAAATTAAAGGCTCAGGGGGCTTTTGTAAGGTCTCGTAGCAAATGGATTGAGGAAGGGGAACAAAATTCTTCCTACCTTTTTAACCTGGAGAAATCTCATCTTAAATATCAGATTGAACAACTACAGATTGGTAATGAGATATTAGATGACCCGCGAAGGATTTCAGAATACTGCTCAAAATTTTACAAAAACATCTATAAAACTTCTTACAGTGATTACTCTGCCTCCTTTTTCTTGGACTCTATTCGTCACTGGAAATCTTTAAATAATGATCAAAGAGATTTATGTGATGCCCCTTTCACTTATAAAGAAATTTCTCTAACTATATCTCAGTTAAAAGATAAGTCTCCAGGAAATGATGGCCTAACAGCAGAGTTTTTTTAAATGTTCTCTGAGCAGTTATCTCCTTTCCTAACTGAAGTGTTAAAAGAAAGTAGTGATTTACAATCTCTCCCCGCCTCAATGACTCAAGGCAGTAGTTCTTTAATTCCGAAACCTAAAAAGGATCTTCTATCTCTTGATAACTGGTGTCCTATAACTCTACTGAATATTGATTATAAAATTTTAGCTTTGCTTTTGGCCAACAGACTAAAAGGTATTTTACCTTCAATCATAGATTAATCACAATCCGGCTTTATGAAAAATCGACATATTGTAAACGATATAAGACTGGACTTTCTCGACTACAGTGACCTCATCGACACAGATAGCTTCATTATGTTTCTCGACTTTCAAAAGGCCTTTGACTCGGTGGAGCATAATTTTATCTACAAAGCTCTAGAAAAATGTGGGTTTGGCCCATACTTCTGTAGTACAATTAAAACTCTGTATAATAACAATAACAGCTCCATGAAACTCAAATATGGCACCTCCCAAAGATTTATATTATCCAGAGGTATCAGACAGGGATGTCCGATTTCCCCTTATTTATTTCTGATTGTCGTTCAGTTTCTTGCCACTCACATCTCACAGAGTCCCTTGAGGGGGATTGAGGTTGTTGGTAGACATCTTGTTATTAGTCAGCTGGCTGACGATACCACCTTGTTTTTGAAAGATGCTTCTCAAGTATCACTTGCTCTAAACTTAATTAGTTCTTTTTCTAAAACCTCAGGTCTCCATCTTCACCTAAACAAGTGTGAGTTATTATCCATTAAAGAATCCACAGCTACCTCTGTTTGTGATATTCAAGTAAAAAATCAGGTAACTTATCTTGGTATTATTATATCTAAAGACCCCACCTTAAGATGCCCAACTAATTTTTCCTCCACCGTCCAGAAAACTCAAAGAAACACTCTTGGCTTCAAAGAGATGTCACTGAAAGGCAGAATCCTTCTCTCTAAAGCTGAAGGTCTCTCCAGGCTTTCATATACTGCTCAATCTCTGTATGTGGATAATAACACTCTAAAGAATATTGATAGAATGCTATTGGACTTTGTATGGAAAAGGAAAGTTCAATTTATTAAACAATCTGTTTTAATCAATCCAGCAAATCATGGAGGTTTAAATTTTATAGACTGCTCATCTCTCAATAATACTCTGAAAATTAACTGGATCAGAAATGTTTTACTTAATCCTTCTTCTATATGGAACATCTTTCATTTTCTCTAAACTAGGTGGTCTAAAATTTCTTTTGATTTGTAATTATAATATTCCTAAAATCCCCATGAAGCTCTCAAACTTTCACAAGCAGATGTTGTTGGCATGGTCCCTCATTTTTAAGCACAATTTCTCACCACACACTTGTTTTATTTGGAACAACATGTCTATCACTCACACAAAAAAAAGTCTGTTTATTGAAAATTGGTTTGATAATAATGTTATTCCTGTTAACCAGTTATTAAAACCTAATGGTCAATGTTACACTTTCTCTGAATTTACAGAAAAGTATCCTATAGTGGTTTCTCCTAGGGAGTTCACGATTGTGATGAATGCAATACCTTCTGGTATCAAAATGCTGCTAGCAGGATCCTCTTTTTTGGATGATTTGGTGACTTGTACTGACCTCTCTCAAACATACGTTGGTAAAATTTGCTTTTCTCCAAATAAATCGTGCAATAAATCTATCAGAGGGCTTTTTCAACAGCTTTCCATCTCCTCTCCCTATATTATTTCGTTTTGGAACTCTACTGTAAATAATGTTCCATGGAATAAAACTTGGCTTTTACCCCACAGATATATTTTAACTAATAAAATTAGAGAGGTTTCTTTTAAAATATTACATAACTGTTACCCTGTTAAACATTTTATTTCCCAAAGATTTAAAAAGGACATTGACACCTGCTGTTCTTTCTGTAACAATCATCCTGAAACAATTACTCATCTATTCTGGACCTGTACAAATACTTCAAAATTCTGGTCTGATGTCTTAGATCTTCTGCAGCAAAAGGTTCTTCCTGATGTCTCCTTCTGTTTGAAACATGTTATTTTTGGATTTTTTTGAAGACAAAGACAGTAATAGAATCTACATACTGAACCTATTTTTTATTTTAGCTAAATATTATATTCATAAGTGTAAATATACCCATGTCAATCCTTTTTTACCTGTCTTCGTCTGTGAAATTAAAAAATATGCTGATTCTATTAAAAACTCAGGTAATTTAAAAGCTATAAAAACTTGGAACCTACTTGAAGAATACGACTTGAACAACTGGTAACACATTTCCCCCCTCTCTGTTCCTTGTTATATCTGATTGTGCTCTGTATTCTTATCCTTTGAACACTGTTTTATCACTCTGGCCCCTTTGTTTGTTTGCTTGTATTGTTGTGCTTTACTTCGTTGCTATGTAAGATACCCAATTTCACTAATAAAGTTTGTTAAAAAAATAATAATATAATGCATGTGAAGACCATCGACACGGTGGAGACATGACTGTAATAATAAGTAAAGGTTATCAGCTGTAGCTTTAGTGTGCTTATAGGAAACGTGACAAATGACACAAAACACATTTCTCTTTATGGCCTATATAGTTGTCATCATCAGCGTTACATGATTTACAGAATGCATGTGACCAAGGACTATCTTCACAAGAAATTCAATATAGATACGAACACATGCACTTTTTGCAACACTGATAATGAGACTACAGAGCACCTTTTTTATTCATGTGACAGTTCCAGATCTTTTTGGGATGATTTTCAGTACTGGTTAACCTCTAAAAATACTGACTGCCCTTCTCTAACCTTTCAAGTAATTAGATTTGGCCTACAAACAGAAAATAAGAAAATAGAATGTGGGATTAACAACTTATTTATAGTAGCAAAATTTTTCATTCATAAATGTCGCTTCTTAAAAATTACTCCGATTTTTGCTGGTTTTAAAAACGAAGTCCTTCTATTGAAGGCTTCATTAGATAAGTGTAAATTAAATAAAGCTCACACTTGAATTTTTGATGCTGCTTTTCAAATGATGTAGCTAGACTGTATGTGCGTACTTTTGTTTTTGCTTTGTTTTCTTTGTTTTTCTTTTTTTTCTGTTTACATGGAAGGTCATTTAATGTACTTGGATGCTGCTTTATGTTATTTCTGACCTGTTCTTTTCTGTTGTTCTTTGTTCGAAGGCTGCTTTGTTCTTAACCACCTATACTTATTCATAGCTTGTTGATTTGTAAGATATGTGCTGCATTTGTTAATTTGTAAAATAAAAAATAAATGAATAAATAAATAAATAACATTTTGCATTCTACCACCGGATGTTTGGACCAAAATGTGAACCAATCAGGTCTCAGATCAGGTGAGAGCCAGGCGTTTCCCGTCATCCCCTAGGACCTAGGTTTTGGAGCCGGTGGAAAGCAGCGGCTGCAGCCAGATGCTCTTGGGCAAAATCTGCGGCCGCCTTGATCTAACGAGGTTATCGTTGCCTGCGTATGCATGACGTCAGCGCAAGTCGGCGTTAAGTCGGACACAAATCTAACCGGCATGCACTGCGCGGCGATCACCGGTGACCTAATGTACGCAGAACTGGCTTATCTCGGAAAAAGCCCATTTGCATCAGGTACTTTTATTGTGAAAGTCCACAACGTGACCCGGAAATTACGCAGATATTTACTAGTTGAATCGGCACGCGGCGAATTAGTAGTTCTCTTGAGTGTATTTATCATCAAAATTGTGTGCCGCAGTTTTTGTTAGCACGATCAAATAAATTTAAACGATAAATATCAGATTTTATTGATAGAAATCAATTATCAATCCACTTATTTTCCTTGAACGCCCATGTTACATCAGGTGCGCTAGCTTACGTGTGTTCAGCTCGTGGTTATGTCTAAGTAAGCCAGCGAAGAGCACAAATTTATGAAGGTAAAGGTGGCAATAATTGTGTTGTAAAAGGAGGTAAAGCTTGTCGCAATGTCTGCTCTTCGTCGAGTCGCTTTGTTTCCTCAGGTATGAACATAAGATTTTGTTTGACTTGAAGAACATCTAATGGACTCACAAACTATATTACAGTTTCTAAAATACCAAACGAACAAATATCTTTAACTCAGGTCAGGTTTTTACTCACATGCGGAAAGATTAACAGCTTCCGTCTTAGTGGGAAGACTTCTCTGCTGACAGACAGAACAGAGATTCCAGCTTCCTGCTTGAGGTTCATGTCGGGCTCAACTAGAGTGAAGAGGGTTTCTATTGAAGGAAACATTGGTAAGAGCAGACGTTTGTGATGATTTACCTGTGTTGGTGATGATCGGCTGAGTTACTTGCTTTTACATTACAGCTGTTGGAAAGTCGACCTTTGCTAGACTCTTACAGTCTAGTTGTTCAGACTGGGAAGTGGTGGCAGAACCAGTCAGCAAGTGGCAGAATGTTGAGAATAACGCCTCCAAGGTGGGGGCAGTGTTAAAAAATAAGAGTTTATGAAATTCATAATTAAAAAAAAAAGCAAATCCATAAAAAACCTGACAATCTGAAAGAAACACCCTCTTTCTTGGACTGGACATTTTTGGTATAACACCTGTCTGCTCTCCTCTCAGAGCACAGATTCACCTCCTCAGACAACAGTCAGTAACCTGCTGCAGATGATGTACCAGGACCCTCAGCGCTGGTCCTACACGTTTCAAACATATTCTTGTATGAGCCGGCTGAGAACTCAACTGCAGCTTCCTTCAGCTCACCTGCTCGGCTCAGAGGCAGCACCTGTCCAGGTGTATGAGCGCTCAATCTACAGTGACAGGTGAGTCAGGACTCTAAACTTCAAAAAACTTAAACTAAAGTCTAGAACTTAACTTTGTTCTGGCAGATACATCTTTGCTCTTAATTTGTTTGAGCTGGGTTGCATCAATGCGACGGAGTGGGCCATCTACCAGGACTGGCACTCCTTTCTGGTGGAGCAGTTTGGACACAGAGTGGAGCTACAAGGCATCATTTACCTCAGATCGTCTCCTCAGGTATGAACATAAGATTTTGTTTGACTTGAAGAACATCTAATGGACTCACAAACATGTTTGTGCACCTCTCAGAAATGCATGGAGCGCCTGAGGCGTCGAGGAAGGCACGAGGAAAACGAAGTGAAGCTGGACTACCTGGACAAGCTGCATGTTCAGCATGAGAGGTGGCTGGTGGAGAAAAGCACAGAGTAAGGACCAGAGCACATCCCTGGGTTGTTTAAACTCTACACTGTCTAATACTGTCTGTCGCCTCAGGATACATTTTGACAAATTGAAAAAAGTACCAGTTTTACTACTCGATGCCGGAGTGGAGTTTCAGAGTGACCCAGAAGTCCAGGAGCAGTTTATCACAAAGGTAAATGGTTCTGGTTAAGCAGCAGTACCAGAGTTGACCACATGGGGGCGTTAGTTTGTTTGATCGTCTGTTTTATGTTTATTATGTTTGACGAGTTCAGTGTTTCTGATCCGCTGAAGCATCTTTTCACACACACAGGTGAAGAACTTCCTTGATGCTTTGTGAGGAAACCAGTTGAACGGGTTAACTGAAGTTTTAACACTTAAGGAGCTCTTCAAGTGACGGAACAGCACCTTAATGCTACGCTGTCTTTAGGACCACACTGTGTAAGATGCACACCAAGTTCTTATCATTCTGTTACTCCTGTGCAACTTATAGACTGTGCTGGTAATTTATGAGGAAAAAACATGCAGAAAGACATATTTTAATAATTTTTTCACATCTGAAACATTAGCACAGATGCGTCTTGTGGTTTTATACAATAAGCTAAATAGTTACTGTGAACTGATTTATAGTTTCTATGTGTGGGTTTATTACAACTTGAATGAATAAAACATTTAAATAATTCAGATGAGTTTCAGAATTTTTATTGATTAAAAGCATTCCTATTGTTCTCTGAAGTAAAATGATGCTGATTTCAAATACATTCTATTGCACTATAAGAGGATTCAAGCCTGTTAGTTTCAATGACCTTGGCTAAAAGTTCCCCCTTTTCATCCCTCTGATGATCACAGGGGCTGTTAAGGTGCCTGATGTGGTCAGGGGTCATCAAAGGGCAGCTGTCCTCTATAAAAGGTCTGGCTGAAGCTCCACCTGGACACATTTCAGCCTGAGAGTAGCTGGAGGAAGGAAGGTAGCAGATCTGCGTGTTTCAGCTAAAATGGAAGCCAGAGTTCTGATGGTTTTCTGCACACTCGTCTGCTGTTTTGGCGCCGTCTCCTCAGTGTGGACCCACAGATATCGCTCACACCTTGAGAACGATTTGGTACGCGGAAACCTGTCGACCGGTCATCACGGCAGATACCCTCTGTACATGATGCAGCTGTACCGATCCTTCAGGACAGCTGATTTTAGCTCCTCTCCAGGGTTCAGCACCATCACAACGCAGAGTGAGGACCCATCTGTGTACACTTCTGATTCTGTTCTGAGTCTGATGGCCAAAGGTGAGGCAACACTTTTAAAGCTGCTCACAAACACACCTGTCTTGTTATATTTATTCATTTTTTAACATATTTAGTTTTCAGTCTTCCTGCATCTCTTTCTGCTTCATCTGCTTTACAAACTGCAAAGTGTCAAAATGCTTATTGACCTTTAAAGGCTTGCTCTGTTTTATGTGGGCCGCTTGTATATTGACTCTCAGACAGCCCTGCACAGGGGGGTCCAATACACATCCTGTCCTGTCCACCCTCTCACTCATGTGTTGTGACATTTGTCCAGCACTCTGGTTTTCCCCAGACGTTTGATTTCTCCCCCCCTTTGTCTGGTTTACAGGTTGCCACCAAGTGGGCGACAGATGGACAGTCACCTTCGACATGTCCTCCATCTCCACAAGTGAACTTGTCCTGCTGGCGGAGCTTCAGATCAGACTTCCAGCTTTCTCTGCCTCCAAGCGTGCCACGGTCGATTTCTATCACTCGCAGAAGCAGAGCTGTGGCCCAGGCAGCGCATCGTGCCAGGAGGCGGCTGTTTTTCTGGGAAGTTTTAGAGCAACACCAAGCAGCACAAAGTCTTCCTGGAAGATGTTTAACGTGACTGCTCTTCTGAAACACTGGCTTGACCGGGCAGGTGTGGTTTTAACCCAAGAGGCCTCAGGAGAACCAGAGACAGAAGAGGAAAGCGGATCTGGGGATGAAGGCAACAAGAGTGACGAGTTATCTTTGCACTTGGTAACAAGGCAAAGAAAAGTCAAGCATCCAACCACAAACCAGGTCATGATGGTCATCTTCTCCAAACAGGACCAACTCCTAGAAGGCCGCGCCGCATACAGTCTAATTTACACTGTAAAAAACTCCAAGTACGTGACAAAAAACACAGCCAGAGGTGATAACCAAAGCCGTCGCCGCAAGAGGAACAGGATAGAGGGGATCAGAGTTGTTGATGGAGCGGCACCTACTGTGGCACCAGCTTCAGCAGACAGGTCCCAAAGGCCTCTGTGTCGGAGGGTGGACATGTGGGTGGACTTTGACCACATTGGCTGGGATGAATGGATTGTGCACCCCAAGCGCTTCAACGCCTATCGCTGTGAGGGAGAGTGTCCCACACCTCTGGATGTGTCCTTTAACCCCACCAACCATGCGTACATGCAGGTGAGATGACATCATCACTCTATCTCCATAAGAGCTCCACAATCCACCCGTGTTTGTTCTGCTCACGTGAATCATTCATGTCATTTTCAGAGCCTGTTTCAGCTCCACCACCCAGAGAGAGGATCCTGTCCTTCCTGTGTGCCGACGCGCCTCAGCCCGCTCTCCATGTTGTACCACGAAAACGATGATCTGATGCTGCGGCATCACGAGGAGATGATTGTGGAAGAGTGTGGCTGCCATTAAAACACATCTGAGTTATTAAACAAAACATGTAATCTGTCTTCCAAAAAACAATAGTAAATAAACTAAAAATTCCCTGACTGAATGAATTCAAACACTTATCTAGTGTGATAGCATTTTTAACATTGCCATTATGTGAATGTTAGATATTTAGGTTGTTTATGTGTTATAGTGTATATTTTGTATATATCAAAAAATGTAATAAATCTTATTTTCAAATAACTGATGTGCGTTTTTTAATATAATAGCTCATGAGCAGCTTTGAATGCGGGAAACAACTGATTTTAGCAAGATTTTCAAAATAAAATCAGAACTTTAGATAGCCGCCTTTTCGCATCATGATGTTTGGAATAATAAAATCCTGCCCTCGTTGGTTCATGTCAGACCATCTAACAGTCTGGTGTTAGATGTTGTCACCCCTCCAATCCACATCTCGGGCTAACTGTAACACACACACACTCCATCACTGTGTCATTAGCTACCCTCTTTGCCTTCTTTTGTTGATTGAGATCAACAGGGTTAAAACAACAAAACATCACTGGGTCAATGGAGTAGAAAAAGGCAGCAGTCCTGGTTTAGTGTCAGGAAGCAGAAGTGACACAAACAAACAAGAGTGATGGGGGATGCAGAGACTCAGAACCGGGAGGGTGAAGCTTCTGTGGAGGAAGAATAAAACGAACTGAAACTGTAATACACAAAACCAGATAGAAATCTCACTTTGGAGACTTTTTTTCTCCTAAAAATGAAACCAGTCTGTAAAAATGAGACATTCACTTTAAAGCCACAAATGTACACAAGGATCAGCTTGTCACCTCCTCTAACACTCGTGACAATTCTCACGCACCCTACTGATCCTGAATGCACCACGTCACACTAATATAACTGGCTCTACTACACAAGCTTAGTTTTTATTCAATAGATGCATTTTTTAAGCAGTAATTTGAAAAAAATCTAAAACTTACTCTTCATATGTTCAAGACATTAATTTTTTAAGAGTTTAAAGCTGTAGACCCCCCCCCCCCCCCCCCCCCCCCAAAAAAAAAAGGGCCTGGATATGTCATAAATCAGGACAAACTTAGAAAAACCATCCGATTTAAAAAGCTTTGAAGCAACTGCAGCACATTCAGAATGCTGCTGCTGCTAGAGTCTTAAGAACCAAGAAAACCGAGCACATCACTCCTGTTCTTGAATCTCTACACTGGTTGAACTAAAGAATCGATTTCAAAGTGCTTCTACTAGATTTGTAATTATAACCCTAACCCTATCATTCAATGGGGCTGAAATACATGTAGAATCTCCTTCCGTTATAAATGCCCAGCAGGACTCTGAGATCCTTAGGAAGCAGCCAGCTGAGGTCAGGACCAAACAGGGCGAAGCTGCTTTTAGCTACTATGCTGCACACAGATGGAATCAGCTTCCTCATGACCTCAAATGCGCCCCAACTCTAGTAACATTTAAATCAAATTTGAAAACTTTCATGTATTCATCTGCCTTTGAATGAATGTGTCTTACGCTGCACCTTCTGCACTGTAACTGCTAACCCATTAACTTTTTTTCTGTTTAAATATGATCTAAGTTAGTGTATTTTAATTGTGCTTTCACATTTTTAAATGCTCTTTTCTCACCAAATGAATTGCCTCTATGTATGAAGTTGGCTATACAAATGCAGCTGCCTTGCTATGCCATTTAGAAACATTTAAATTCCTTTAACTGATTATTTGCTTTAAACATTTCTATATTTTCAAATAAATGTGCCTAATCCAAGTTTTTAAGCTATTGCGATGATTTGTTTAAAAGTGAATGCCTGATCAGGTTCTGCGCAAGAATCAAAAGGCTTTGACTTTAGTGGAAATCAAGAGTTTCCAGCTGTAAAACAAGTTGTATATTGACCCCTCTTTATACAGCCCACAGGCAGGTTATCAGCCACCGAAGGGCTGATGGAGGAATTCCTCTGAAACAGGAGGTGCAGCAGCCCGCCCGCCAAGCAGGTCGTCAAAGATTTATCACCACGAAGTGTATGCAGGCCCATCAAGCACTTAAACATCAAAACAGTGAATAAAACCGCTCAACATCATTAAAAAGGCTCAACAAAAGAGGAAACACAATGGGTTGAAATCATGTTTGATTTAATGTTCGTCACCCTACAAACCGTGTGAAAATTGTTTCAAACCATAAAAAAACTGCTCAACATTCTTTGTGTAACACTTTACGTATGCGTCTCCTCAGGAGCATGACTGAAGGCAGTTATCTGAAGAGATGTGGCAGGAAATTAAAGCTAATCAAGTAACAAACCCTTCTGGATTGGTCCTAATTTGGGAGAATTACATCTTCTACTTCAGTTTGTCACGTCTCTGACGGATGAGGCATTGGTGGTGTTTGGTTCTTCTCTGTGAAGCTTTTAAACTGGTAGCCACCACAGGAAGGCACACTTTGTTGAAAAGCCTCAAAAATAATTAAAAAATAATCTGCTTTGTTCTTGGTCAAACAAAAATGGAATAAAAAAATAAATAAAAAATTGGTGGGATTTGATGATTTCAGGAAGCGTTTGTCTCATACAGAAATGATGATGGGGCTTTAGAGGGCTCTCCTGAGCCTCTCTCCAACATATCAGCTCCACCTAGATGTCCATTTCAAACTGAGCATCGTCACCTGGAAGATACCAAACAGAAACAACTCAGGAAAACAAGGCAAGAATTTCCGTTTTCCAATAATTGTATGCTTCAGCCACTGGATGGTGTCTGTCTCAGGTATAAACATACCAGCATTGCTTGTTTCAGGTGCAACAATGGAGTTGTTGTTCAGTAGTTCTCCATTGACAGCCTTTGCATTGGGCTCTTTGGTGGGAGGGCTAGTCACCCCTGGAATGGTGGGAAGACCTCGAGGAGGAGTCCTGGCCAATGGAGAGCTGCGACACTCCAGCAGGAACTTACGGTCATAGATGATCCTGGTACCTTTTTGAGTTAAAAACAAAACACAGGAAGACCATCACAACATGAAAACAACACTGAAACCTGAGTAACGCTGGATGACATTTAAATAAATGCCCAAACGAGATGAGATCTACAAAGATTACAGAAAACACCCAGGTGAGAAACCCGGTCACTGTAATCAACCAGAAACCACGGAATATGTGTTACTTATGTCTGTTTTATTAACGTAAATCTGAAATAAATAAATAACAGGTCTGTTTTAATTAGGGATGCACCGATACCGATACTGGCATCGGTACCGATACCAGTATCGGTATCAGTGAAAGTTAACCGATACCAGGAACCGATACCAATGCAGTTGCTTGAAAATGGCTTCACTGTAACTTGTCATTTCTGTTCACCTAATATTTTAGTTTTGTGATGATTTCCATTCATATATTTTACTTTTTATTTACCTCACAGTCTTTTCCTGTTGAAAGCAGAGAAGAAAATAAAATCTGTATTCCATATCATTGCATTTTTTTGTGTGGTGGAAGTATCGGTATCAGTAATCGGCAGCGGCAAGTACCCAGATCCAAGTATCGGTATCGTATCGGTTTGGAAAAAAGAGGTATCGGTGCATCCCTAGTTTTAATCACAATGTCAGTTAAACAATGAAGCCTCTTTGGCAAAGCAGTAACAGCTCTGACCTCATTAAACTCTTAAAATAAACAATCTTTCAGATTTAAAAAAAAATCTAGTTTTGTTGGATTTATTCAGGGGCTGATCTACTGGGGTGGCAACTGCCTCCCTAAAGGAAAGTTTTGCCACCTCAGAAGAAGGCAGCAATAATTCATGAAATAGTTGTGGCAAATCAGACATTATGAATATGAAAGTAGCATGTCCGATTACACCGATCATGACACAAGCTGATAAAATAATGACCTGAAATAAAAAAACATATATGGTTATGTAAATACTGATGAATTAACAGGGAAAGAAATGTGTTTGAGTGAATAATAAAACTAAAGTTTAGTACCTTGTTGCAGTGAAACATTGTGTTGGTGGTGGCACAAAATGTCAGCCCATTCCAGAGTGGCTGTGGCTACATCGTAGCTTACCATCCCCGGCAGTGTGAACGTGAGAGTGTGAACAATATAACCTTCTGAGTGGCCTAGTGGTAAGAGTGTCCGCACTGGAACTGGGAGATCGTGGTTCATCGGGTTATCCCAAAGACTTTAACTCATTCACTGCCAGCCATTTCCTGATCGCTGAAGACCTTCACTGCCAGCATTTCTCGCCATTTTTACTGTTTTTTAAGAGTCACAGAACGTTGCGCGCTAGGATGATGTCGACGCCAAAACAACCAAAACAAAGAGGAGACTCACCTCTTAGATCAGGAAGAATCCGCGTGTTTCAAGCGTTATCCATTCTTTCATAATTCGTTGTCGAATTGTGATCGGCAGACGCTTTTCCGGTTCGCGCCTCATGTTTTTTTTTTAAAGGAACAACCCAAACCGATCTCCTAACACATGGATTTTCTGCTTCCTGGTCATGTGACCTGTGACGTATGCGGATGAAGATCAGCTTCAGAGCTGAGACGTTTGCTTCTCGGCGCGGGGACTTGTTCCAATGCCCACACAGTAAAAAAATTCCAATGACGACTATTGGCAGTGAATGAGTTAAAAATGGGACCCAATGCCTCCCTGCTAGACACTCATCTTTAACCACCAAATAGTTCCCGAGTGCAGCCACTGCTACAGCTCACCGTTCCCCATGAGGATGGGTCAAATACGGAGATGTCATTTCACCAGCGTGTGATGATGACTAATGGGACTTTAATGGAATGCGCTTTGAGTTCCAAGAAAAGCACTGTATAAATCCAATCCATTATTGTTATTATTATTTCTTTCCATATAGTGCATCTATGCTGACCTTGGTACAGCTCAGTGCATAGGAATTCACAGACACATTTTTAATGGATAGTTTAGTTCAAAAGCTTTTGTGTGCCCAAAGAGTATAGTAATTTATGCTCCATTTTACCATCCTCAAAATTTTGCCCCCTTCTGCCACCCCGTACATGTTTTTCTAGGCCCACCACTGGATTTTTTTCTTTTGCTGCATCTGATCCCAAATTCCAGTCCAGTAGGTGGTCGTAATGGGCTTTTAAACTGGTTAGGTCACCGCCAATAAACTCAAGAGCACCGATTTGATCACGTGACTCAGATCCCAGTGACAAGATGTACAGAAGTCAAAGTAAAACCCTAAAAACGATTTTCACTTACTTGAAAATTAGTTATTGTGTTGCAAAATTACATTTACAAAACGACATTGGTCATATGCCTCAAAGCCACTTTTTAGTTTTTCACTATTCTGTTTTTTCAATGATCGCTAGTTAGCGTTAGCGGTTAGCTTCAGTATAGCTAGCTATCAGATGACAGCAGCCAAGCCGACCTCATGGAGTTAGCATGAACACACGCAACAACGCTGCTGTTAAATGGATTCAGGTCTCGTGCCACTGACCTTTTGACCAAGCACACAAACGTTAATGTGGAGTTAAAAACACACAACGTACCGCCCGGTGTGGTGCTAAAAAGGGTCCCCCCGGGAGTAGTGGAGTAGTCGTGTGGCATGTGGTCCGCTTCGTTGACGGCCACTGTCCTGGTGGACGGGATGGCCTTGGCATTTGTCTTCTGAAAGTCTGTGGACATCTTCTCTCAACTAAAAAATTAAAAGTAACTAACTGGATGACATGAAACAAGAAGAACGTCTGGGTTTGACAGAACAAAGCCAGAGGAGTGTTAGATTTGGCTCAGCAGCAGAACGGTCGCCTTCTGATGAATAAAAATAAATATCTAGATTTCATGAGTGCAAACTATGGCGATTAAAGTTAGCCACATGAACACACGCGCTCTCACTCAAAACGGGTCGAGGATGTTTGGTGAAAAAGGACCTCAGCAGCACCCGTTTCTCTGTTTCCACATGCACACAAAACAACACACAGACATACGCAGGCAGACCATCAAGGCATACAGACAGGCTGCTGCAGCCCTGTAGGGAGAACGCTGTTCGGTGCAAACTAAACGAATTTATTCCGCCATCTACTGGTGCATACTAGGCTACAGAGATTAAAATAATAATAATAATTATTATTATTTTTAAAAAACTATGTATTTATTTTCACCTCATTCTATTTGAAAATTTTCTTAAATACAAAATCTGCAGACACTGTTCCAGATTTTCACCTTTTAAGGAACGTTATATTGCGTTATTATGCTTTCAACAAGAAGATTGCCTTATTCTAGTCCGCCTCCGAAATGATTTTAAATCATGTCAAGTTGACAGATGATTTATTTAAAAGGAGCAAAATCAGTAAGTAAATCCTGCTGTCATCTTCTGCTCAAATATAATTATTGAATTTATTCAGGTGTGTGTGTGTGTGTGTGTTTCTTCGGCATTTTAATGTATTTTCAATACAATTTGCTTTTAAAAGCCCTTACATAATTGTTTTATTTATTCTGACCACATTCCTAGCTCTGAGATGTTAGATCTATAACTTCACAAGTTTTAATAACACAAAGAGAAGCTTTTAGACTTCCGGTGACGTCATGATAGGAGCAGCAGCGTGAACACGGAGCTCCGTCAGAAGAACTGAGAAACTCCTTGATATAATATATAATCTAAAGACTTTAAGACCAGCGAATATTCATTTTGATGATATGAGTTCCTCCACAAGACAAAAAGTGCTCAACAAGCAAGCAAATACGAAGGATATGGAGGATAAACAGCAAAAGTTGGGCAACCCTTCAGAAGCCAGCACCCAACCCACCAGCTGCACGATAATGAGTGAGAACAAACTTTTGGAGGAGATCAAACAAATGCGGGATGAAAACAAAGAAGGACACAGCCTCACAAAATCCTCCTTGGATCGATTGGAACAGGCGGTGGCGGATATAAGGAGCCAAATAGGAGAACAAGAGGAGAGATTAACGGGTTTGGAGGAGAGGGTGGCGTCATTGGAAGAAAGGGAGACGCGGCATGAAAGGGAGCTTAACCACCTTCTCCGTCGGGAGACGGAGCTGACAAATACCTGTGAAGATCTCCAAAATAGACTGAGGAGGAACAACATGAGGATTTTCCAAGTTCCAGAAGAAAGTGAGGGGGGAAACCTGATAGACTTTACAAAAGATTTATTAAATAAAGTTCTGACACTCCCCTCAGACTTGGACATTAGGATAGAAAGAGCGCACCGTGCGCTTCAAGTACGACCAAGAGACCATCTGGCAACACCCCGATCTATTGTGGTGAGATTCCTGGATGCAGCTGTGAAGGATCTCATTTTGAAGCAGGCATGGAGCCAAAGACAAGTGCTTTTCCAGGGCAAGAGGATTTTTTTCGACCAAGACTACTCGCCAGAGCTGCAGAAAAAGCGAGCGAGGGTACGCGCAGTAATTAAACAACTACGCCAGAAAGGTATCGGGGCAAAATGCCTGTACCCGGCACGGCTTAAACTGAAGTTGGACTCTGGAGAGAAGATATATACTACACTGACGAGTGCGGCCGAAATGCTGAGCAGCTTGGGTGTCCAGATATACGAAGGGGAGGAAGAGCACACAGAGAAGGAACCGACAACGGACTGGACAACTAGAAGTAAAAAAAAAAAGAGGGGAAGATAAAGTCTCTTGACCTGGAATTCATCACACAGGAGGACAAAAACACAGAAAGAGGTATTGAAATAGCATGATTAGATGAAGCTTTAGTCGAGATTATCGGTCAAAAAAAATTATAGTGTAAAAATTAAATTATATAAAGTAAAAAATATAAACGCTGATTATTCAAGTGGAATTAATAGGAAATTTGTCAAGGACATTGTTATATATTCTTAGGTTAAAAGTCTGACGGGAAGAACCGTGATCCCCTATTGGGTTTTCTTTTGGGGTTTTTTTTTTCGCATGAAGAATGCGCAACCACGACCTTTTTTTTTTACATAAATATGTATTATTGGTCGGCATTGCACACTATGTGCAGTTTTCTACAGGGAGATCAAGTCACCACTCCCTGGTCCCTTACCAACGGGAGCCAGACGCAGTTCTAGATACAACACTGCGACAGGCTAGTAATTTGGAAGCTCAGATTTATAAGGAAGATGTTGTACTGACAAGTAGGTTTAAACTTTATTATAATATGTATGTGTATGTGAAGTTAGATTTTTGTTTATTTGTTGTTATTTGTGTTTGCATGCAATCAAAAGGTAATAAATTTCTTAAACAAAATAGCAATGAACTACTTAAAAGTAGTTACATATAATATAAAGGGGATCAACAATCCAATTAAAAGGCAGAAGATCCTGGGCCAGTTAAAAAAAATGCAATGCTCTATAGCTCTGCTACAGGAAACGCATTTATCAGAGACAGACCACCAAAAATTAAAAAGAAAGTGGGTAGATCAAGTATACAGTGCCTCATATGGCAACGGAAAAAAAAGAGGAGTAGCTATATTATTTAATAAAAATGCTTATTATTCTAATGAAGAGGTAATCGAGGACAAAAAAGGTAGATATGTTATGGTGGTTGGATCAGTTGCAGGGGTTAAGTTAACGGTACTAAATATTTATGCACCAAATGAAGATTGCCCAAAATTTTTCGAAAAAATGGCTGAATTAATTGCGGAGAGAGGGAAAGGTTTGATTCTTATTGGGGGTGACCTTAATTGCGTAGTCAATTATAAGTTAGACAAATTACCTACCTCTTCGAAACCACAAAACAGAAAATCTAAAAGTCTAACAAGCATGATTGAAGAGCTGGGGCTAATAGATTGCTGGCGCCATCTTCACCCAAATGAAAAAGATTTTACTTTCAACTCACAGGTACATGGAAGCTACTCAAGATTAGATTACTTCTTTACAGTTAAGAAAGACACATTTAGAATTAAAGAATGCAAAATTGAACCAATTACAATCTCCGATCATAGTCCAGTTACTATGAGGCTGGACATAGGATCAGAAACTCAGAGTAGATACTGGAGAATTAATGTATCCCTACTAACAGATAAGCATGTAAGAGAGGAAGTGAGATCAGCCCTAATAGAATATTTTGACATAAATGATAATGGGGAGGTTTCACCAACAGTGCTATGGGATGCAGGAAAGGCTACAATAAGAGGTAAACTCATCTCTATAGGTTCTGGAATCAAGAGAGAAAGGGAGAGAAAACGGATAGAATTAGAGACAGAAATAAAAAAGTTGGAAAAGGAGCATAAACAAAATGGACAACAGGAAACACTGGATAACTTGAAAGATATAAGAGCTCAGCTTGACGGTCTACTAACGTATAAGGCAGAAGGAGCCCTAAGATTTATAAAAAGAAAATATTATGAAATGGGGAATAAAGCAAGTAAACTTCTATCTTTTCAGCTGAGAAAAACCCAAGCCAGCCGTATAATACCTAAAATTAATTCAATAAATATGAATAAGGTAGAAATGACCCCAAAAGGGATTTCAGAGGCCTTTGCAGAATATTATCATAAATTATATACAGGCCAAGCTTCGGCCTTTAAATTAGACGGGATAAAAGATTTCTATAAAACTCTTAAGTTGGATAGATTGTCAGAAGAAGAAAGTGTCAGTTTAACAGAACCAATAAAAGAGACTGAAGTTAGAAATGGTATTAATAAACTTAAAAATAATAGCTCGCCAGGCACGGATGGCTTTGCAGGGGAATACTATAAAACCTTTATTACCGAGCTTACCCCTATATTATGTAAACTATATAATTATGTATTAGACTCAGGGAATCCTCCCGATTCATGGAAAGAAGCGATTATTACAGTTCTGCACAAGGAAGGGAAAGACCCTCTCCAATGCCCCAGCTATCGCCCTATAAGCCTGCTCTGTGTAGACTATAAAATACTGACATCAATACTAGCATCTAGAATACAGATACATATAAAGAAATTAATTAAACCAGATCAGACAGGTTTTATTCTAGGACGTCAAGGCACAAATAATGTGAGGAGAGCTTTAAACCTACAGTCAATAATGAAGAAAGATAAGCAGACATCCATGCTCCTGAGCTTAGATGCAGAGAAAGCCTTCGACCGAGTAGACTGGACCTTTCTAAAATATACTCTTTTGGAAATGGGCTTTGGGAAAAAGTTTGTAGATTGGTTCAATGTTTTATATAAAAACCCAAAATCAACAGTAAGAATAAATGGATATTGTTCAAAATTTTTTAAGGTAGAAAGAGGGGTGAGGCAGGGAGATTCGTTATCACCTGTACTTTTTGCCTTGAGTATTGAACCACTGGCAGAGATAATCCGCCAGAACAAGCTGATTCAGGGAATAAGAGATGGAGAAGGGACAGTCCACAAAATTGCTTTGTTTGCAGATGATATCTTACTTTTTATAAAAAATCCAAAAACATCAGTACCAGCATTGCTTAACAATCTAGATACTTATGCAGAAATCTCAGGATATAAAATTAATCAAAATAAATCAGAAGTAATGATGGTTATGGGGGACTGGCCAAAAGAACTAAATAAAACGGTATGCTTTCATAGGACTAATAAAGGGCTTAGATACCTAGGGATAGTGCTGACACCCCAACCTACAGCTCTGTTTGAAGCAAATTACACCAGACTAATCAAACAGGTCAAGGCGGACCTGACCCGATGGACGATTCTCCCTCTATCTCTATTTGGCAGGATTGAGACAATTAAGATGAATGTTCTACCACGCTTTCTCTTTTTGTTCCAATCCCTTCCTATAAGAATCCCCGCTCCAATATTTAAGACTCTGAACAAAATGATCTCTCAATTTATATGGCAACATAAAAAACCAAGGGTAAGGCTTAAGACACTTCAGCTGCCAAAAGAGAAAGGGGGACTAGCAGTGCCTAACTTGAAATATTATTACTGGGCAGCCCAATTAACAGCGATAGTTCACTGGCTGGAGGGAGATAGGGACCTAATATGGAACCAGATAGAACAAGGCGAAATTAAAGGTACGGAACTGACAGTTTTACCATTCCTTAACCCAAAAGATATCCAGAAATTAAAAGTGGACAGCATAATCATAAAACATACTTTGAGGGTCTGGAGGGAAGTAAAGAAAATGCTGAATGACAAGGGTTCTATTTCCCGGGCCATGCCAATACTGGATAGCATCGGGTTCCCCCCATCCAAATTAGACTCGGGGTTTAAAAAATGGGCGAATAAGGGTCTTATAATTCTGGACCAGTTGTTTGGAGAAACAGAGCTTAAAACATTCTCGCAAATTAGGGAACAATTCGACCTCCCCATGAACGACATGTATAAATATTTTCAGATAAGGCATTATATCATGAATCATAGAGAGAAAGAAAGACTTTATAAACAGCCAAATGCAATAGAACAATATTTTATTTCACGCATAGGAAAAAAATCCCAAGTAAAAGGCTATGTTACTAATCTATATAGAAGCTTCTTACTTAGCTCTACACATAATACGAAATATATAAAGGAGAAATGGGAACTAGAATTAAATATACTAATTGAAGATGAACAGTGGGAAGATGTATGTAGACAAACTCATAGGGGGATCAACAGCCAAATGTGGAAGGAATTTGATTGGCAGATAAAAACTAGGTACTTTTTTACCCCCTTAGTTGTATCAGGGTTTGCAAAAGAAGACCTGTCCCCACTTTGCTGGAGGAACTGTGGGGAGGTGGGGGACCACTCTCATATATTCTGGAACTGCCCAGTTATTCTCAAATATTGGAAAGACATAAAGGAAGAGTTGGAAAAAATCCTGGGAAAGGAGCTACCTTCACATCCTTTGTTCTATCTGTTGGGGGCTACATCAAACAAAATATTAAACTTAGACCAAAGTTATATCGCCCATATTCTATTATTGGCTGCAAAGAAAATTATAACAGTAAAATGGAAGGAGGTGAACTCCCCAACTATAAAGGAATGGAAAGAGAGAATTAAACAAATATACATAATGGAAAAGATGACATCTATACTGCAAATGAAGGTGGATCGGTTCCGGGATAGATGGGAGTGTGTCGAGCAATACTTAGCAATGTGACGTATTGGGTTGTTGTTTTGCCTGTTGTCTACTCTGATGTCAACGTGGAAAACTTAATCTTAACGATGAAACTAAATGATTGTATTTCTATTCTTTATAGAATTTTATTTTTTCTCCTTTATTTATTTATTTGTTTAAAAATAATTAATTTACTTATTTGTTTCTTTTTGCTTTTGTGATTGTCCTGCTCAACGCCAGGGTTGTTAAACCAAGTTGTACAATGTCAAAATCAAAATAAAAAGTACCAAAAAAAAAAAAAAGAGAAGCTTTTAAATCAGATTCAGATTTCATGAATTTCTTTGAATTCATGTTTCTTTTTTGCAGCACGTCTATAACAGACTTCCCCCAAAGCTTGATGCATCTCCTGGCAGGATGGTTAAACGAGCGAAGATCTACTCACTGTGTCAGTCAGGAAAAAACACACTTCAAAGTCAAGAAACGTCATTTAAAGACATGAAAAAAATTACACGCAATACGCAAAGATGTTTCATTTCTTTATTAATTTTTGTAAATGTTGAGCTGGTGTACAGAGTAAATTGTCAACAGATGCCCTCAGATTTTGATTGGATTAAAAGGTTTTCACATGTATATTTTATGTTTGACTCTCCATGACAATAAAAAAGCAAACAAAATAAGTTAAAACACCCACAAAACCCCTATTTATCCCCAGGTTGCAGGCATTACCCAAACTTAAAAGTCTCTTAGTAGCTACAGCTGTATGATGCAAAAAGGACATCCATAACATAACAGGAATCCCAGTTGACAGGGGTGCATAGCATTCTAAGTAAATATATATATTTGTATGTTTCATATATATAGCCATTTTTATATTAAAAACTTTTTGTGCATGTGCGCAGTTGCATTCCTTAGTATCGAGTAATATGCTATTAATAATGTCTTCAATCCATTCTAAAGGAATATACATGTGTTCTCTAGTTTTTGCAAGAGTTAACATTTTTGCATGAACTTGGTGCATGTTTCAGCAGTCCATTGCAGGGCTCCTCGTCTCACTGGTGTAACCACAACACGCTCTGCTTTGCACCAACTTGGACTCTTTTCTAGCATCCAGACCGTCAAAATGTGGAAGCCTTTGAATGGGCTCAGTCTCATATTTGGTAAACAGGAGAAAAAGGAAACAAAATAAAGATCAGGTGTAGGCTGTGTTGAGGAAAATGCTCGTCATCTTGAAGCCATCTTGCCTCCACCGACCGTCAAATTGCTCCCCCTTATTGTTGTCTTTAAAAAAATAAAAATCTGACTCCCTTAACACCCATTTTGACATCAGCAGCGAGATTAAAAATGACCTCAGCTTTTTAAAAAAATAAACTCATGTATAAGATGAGATCTAGTTCAATAATTAACAGATGGATCATAATTAAACCATTGCAGCTGTAACACAAACCCTGAAACATGTAGACTATTTATCCTTATTTTGTCTGTTTTTAATCATATTTTAGAGAAGTGATTTTTTTACAGTGTTAGTCAAGTTACATAACTACTAGTTACCTTTTTTATTCAGGTTGTGTCGGTTAGCTCATTTATTCCTTTAAATATGCATTAAAATTGCATAATAAGCAACTGTAAAAAAATCCCTCAAAAATAAAGAAAATCCGGTTTTATCATTCTTTCTCAAAACTTATCTATAAATTAAACTTAACTTCTACTGCAGAGTTTATCTCACAGGTGTCATATAGACATGAACTGGCGCTGCCGGCAGGCCGCCATCTTGGATGGGTCTCCATTTGCCCCCAGTGCATTTATTTCTATTGAGGACGGTGCTTGCCCAACAAAAAACAAAACCCATTTTATTGTGATTTTTTTCACAAAGTCAGACATATGGTATGACATGATAGTTAAAATACAAATAACATTTCATGAAATGAATAAAAATATAAAATCCCAACAGGTAGGCTAGAAAAGTCATTAATAACCCACATGATCGGTTTTCAATAGGCTGCACAAAAACGAGTATAGTTGCTCCTTCTGCTTTGACTATAGTTGGGTTAGGAGAGTAAGTAACCCATCCAATATGGCGGTGACACTGTTACACCCTCCAGCGCCCAATGAGGCATCTACATATTCATGTCTATGGTTTATCTAACAGCTCCATATTTTTAAAACTTTACATTAGCACTACATTAAATGCAAAAAATCCATTATAATCAAAGCTGTACCGAATATATAATTGACTTACATCTCAATGTTTGTAATAAATAAGATAAAAAATGAGAAACAGTAATCGGATGATGGGATATTAGAAAGCATCTTCAAAAGTTTTGTTCTTAAAACTCGTCTCCCTGTAAGTTAGCGATAAAACGATGATGAAGTCATTTATATGATAGTCAACAGCAGATACTTGAGTTAAATGTGACTGATATCTACTGAAACACGTAACGGGACTCAATGTTTACCACGACTTTACATTCATCATCTCTGGCAGGGACGCCATACTAAACACACACTGAAAGATGCTTATTGCAATGTTTACATATTTTAATCCAACGAAGACGTACATGTCTGTTCTAACCTCTAACATAAATAGGTGTAACTTACGGATGTAATCTGACATGGCACACATATCGAGGTAAATCACCCTTATGTTTCCTAAAAAAAAAAAAAAAGCACAGGTCTGTTTGCAGTATCACTTCCTGTGACATCATCACAACTTAGTCGCGTCTGACCATCCAGGACTGAACATGTATTTAAATCAGACACGCAGGCACATTCAGTTTCAAGCAAACACAAATGTAAAGGAAACAAAACCACCTCCTTCAAGGTGCAAAAAAGCATTCCTGGAGGAAAAATGAAATCACAGGGCACTTTCTAGATGAGACTGATGACATGAAATCAGATTTTTTTTTATGAAGCAAAAAGTATGGCAAGGAATCCTAGAATTCTGACATCATTTTGAACAGAGAGGAGTCGTCAAAAGCCGTGAGGAAGACTGTAACTATGGTCCTACGTAAAACTCTCCCACTTCTGTCTCAGACGTTCGTTTTGTGAGCAGTTATTGCTACTTCTTGAGTACGGTTAAGACTGGAAATCATAAAAAAAAGAGGCGAGACGAGGCTTAAGTGGAGACTGAAACGACAGATGTGCTTCGAGACGGGCCAGGCTCACAGTTACGGGTCAGTTTTACAGTTTCTCATCACAGTGATTGGCCACTGCCTGCATCCAAACATCACCTCGACACAACACTCCCACACCTGCAAGGTCACCTTCCGTCCAGTCGATCCAGTGCTACATAACCAGTTACCTCACTAAGAGACATCTTCTGGTGGTGGAGAGAAGATCTATAAGTGCACCTAGTGTGGTGGAGTCAAAAACTGCATGATGAGTTGAAGTTGGGCACCTCTTCCTCCCCGCTGGAGGCGGACAGGATTGCTACATGTTGTCTGAGAGGCTATGGGGACAGGATAGATGAACACAGACCTCACAAGGACACACTACTGATTCCACTAAAATAAAGCAGAGAACTTGGATGAGAGAACAGCTCAATATCTCGATTCTGCGACTTCTCCACAAGGAAAACTCCCAATGTCTAAAGCAAAGGATGAAAGCTTGTGGGGGAAAAAAACAGGAACAGAAAACAACCAGATGGTGTAAATCTGATTTTTCGAATGTGTTCTCGTACTCACAAAGATCTGAAGTTACACAGATTAATATATAAGTTCTGATCAAATGAACCGAACGAGAAAAACAGGGAAGAATCTCATATGTTCGTGAAACAGCAGCATCAGTGGCATCGCATAGAGATTTTCTAACATAAACAACACACGGTCACGTAGAGCTTTTTAGTGCATACCATATGTTGTACAACACTGATATCCTTTGGTGATAAGTGTGGCTTTACTGGACTCAGAGAGCACTGGGACAAACTAGGATATCCTAATGGTGAAGACATTTTTTTGTTTTCCTGTCTCATTTATTTTATTTTCTCTTACACTGAATCGTAATCTGGTGATTTTAGAAAATAGTTCGCTGATTGAACAAAGCCTACATTGCATGCCTGTTTCATCCCGAGACCCCCCCCCCCCCCCCCCAACCCCATTGCCCCCTCAGTATTTGTAGTTTAAGACAGGCCATGCGGCAGCAGTCACTCATGCTGATACAGATAATAGGAAGCACATTTTGGTTGCTATGTATATATCTATATATCATTTTTTTAAGTCTGTGTTTGGTTTTTATTTTATATGAAATCATGCTTCTAGCCTAGTAGCAGATGTTTTGTTTTTCTCTCCAGAGTTTCTTCAAATAAAAAAAAATGGTAATAAAAACTACAAGTAGATCAGTTTCCTTGTCTTCTGCTGCGTGCTGATAGTCGACAAAGCCACTGTGAATATCGTTGTGTTGGGGGTCTTAATTTCCTTTGTCAGCCTTTTTATTTATTTAATATTTTCAGTGTGGTCTTCCTCCTCTCAGCTGCTGCTGGTCATGTGTCCATGTAGGATTGTTTTGGTGAAGGGGTTGAATCCTGCGGAGAGCTCTGCAGAGAGAGAAAGCGTCCTGATGTAGAGTTAACGTGTGTTTAAGTACAGAACAGGTAGCATGCACGCTTGAACAAATCCACGCAATTGAAGCTGCAATGGCAAACCTGCAAAACAAGCTAACACTAACACGGTCACGGAGCAGTCACTCCTCCCATTGGCTATCATCCCTGCTAAGGGAATAAGTCTTGTCACCAGAATTTAATTGGTGTTTTACATTTTGGGACTCTGGTAGTTTGTCCTAAAGTAGAAGTAGTAGCAGCAGGCTCTTTCTCCTTCTCTCACAGTGGTGTTCAGTTGGAAAATGCACGAGCGCTTAAAAGTCAACTTTACTCATGTTTAGTACATTTGCAGTGGTCCCTAGTAAGAAAGAATGCCCTGTAAATTGCAATCAGAGGGGAAAAAAAGCTCCAGTGTGCCTGTTTGAGGACAAAGAAGTCAGCTGGAAAAGAGCGTGACACAACACGACAGGATTTGTAGTCATGTCTCCTGATATTTGGACATCTCACCTCTGATTGGCTAACAGCAACATGGCTTTACCACTGACTGTTTGCTCTGCAAAGTGGATGTTTAATCTCCACAAACAGCACAAACCTAAAGGAGTTCTGCTGTGTGGCGGAGTTGCTAATGCTAACGGTTAGCTTCTACTAGCTGAGACATTCTCTGCTGTCTAAATCAACAACAGCCTACCTCATTGTGAGGCAAGATAGGTGAGTGGAGGACCCAGGTAAATGTGGAAGTGGGTGGGTTAGGATCCAATCAATGGTTTTGGTCTGAGCCATGTTGGTGGCTGATGTGTTAAGACAAATGCGAGAGAACCTCTTCAATAAATTCTTTTATGTTTTTCTTTAATCTCCACCATATATTTATAGCTCGACTGTGTTAGAATGTTGTTAAGAGTCATTAAAAAAACAAAACAATGTTTTAAAGGAGTGGTTCACTTGTAAAATGATGCATTTGCAGTGGTTTCTAGTAGGAATTAATGCCTTATGCGTCATTCCTGAGGGAAAAATATACTGGTGCACCATTTCTCTGACCTCAAGGTTGCCCACATCACAGCTGAGCTTCAGACGGCAGGTTTCAAAGTCTTATTTTATTAAATCTGGACATCTCACCCCAGATTGGTTAACAGCAATGCAACTCCACCACTGACTTGCAACATGGATGTTTATAGCCTGGAGGAGCTTCTGCCGTGTGGTGGTGTTGCTAATGCTAATGGTTCCATTCCATTCCATTCCATTTATTTGATAAAGCACATTTAAAAACATCATGTGAGCTGACCAAAGTGCTGTACAGGGGTAAAAACATATAAGGTTAAACGAATAATATAAAAGAATAAAACAGCTAGAGCATAGCACAAAGAACCAAACAAGAGAATTCAATAAAACTGGTAAAAGAACAATGTAAGTAAACAATCGATAAAATAGCTAGGCAGTAAAAGCAAGGGAATAAAAGTAAGTCTTTAAGTGAGACTTAAAAACCCCAATGGAGGAGGAGAGTCTGATATTCAGCAGGAGATCAATCCGGAGTTTCGGAGCGCAGACAGAAAAAGCTCGTTCACCACGGGTTTTGCAGAGTAGACGGGGAATCTGTAGTAGGTGTAGGTCACCTGAACGGAGAGTCCTGCCCGGCACATAAGGAGTGAGTAACTCGGATATGTGAGGTGGTGCTAAGCCATAAAGGCCTTAAAAACAAACAGTAACATTTAAAAATGTATACAGTAGTGCACAGGAAGCCAGTGAAGTCTTGCTCAAGTTGGAGTGATGTGCTGCCGACGGCCAGTATTGATCAGAAATCTTGCTGTCACATTTTGTATCAGCTGAAGGAGAGATAATGCGGCTTTTGAAATGCCAAACAGAATTGCATTGGAGTAATCCAACCTTGAGGTGATGAAGGCGTGAATGGTTGTCTCGAGGTGACGCCGATTCAGAATGGGTTTTAGTTTGGAAAGACGTCTCAGCTGATAAAAACATGATTTAACCATGTGATTAACGTGAGGGTCCATTTTTAGAGCCACATCATTTTTAATTCCAAGATTAACAATTGTTTGACTAATTTTAAAAGGAAGAGCAGAAAAATCAGGAGCGGAGGAAGACGGGCCAATAAACTTGGTCTTAAAATCATTCAGACACAGAAAACTAATTTGGTTAGCTTAAACTAACTGAGACGTCCGCTGCTGATTCCCTGACTTTAAAACAACAACCTTCCCCGTCGTGAGTCAAGGTGGGTGAGTTCTTGAATGGTAATTCAGTGTGACGTTGATCTGTGAGGATTTCAAATCCTAGCGTTTCATCATCTATTTTCTATCAGAAGCTAATGCAAGAGACAGATGTAGGAGACTATTTTCATGTTCAGACTGCATGATAAACTCAGAGTGCCTGCTTGTAATCAGAAAAAACATTAAAAGATGTTTTTTCCTGTCGCCTACAACTTGAAGCTAGCTTGTTTAGCAGATTAGCCATTGTAGCTTGAAGAACCTTTTGTGCATTTGATACAAATATTGAAGAATAGCATGTTTAAAATAGACCCAAGTTCTTTCCCACACAGGATAATTTTTTCTGGAGCATTTGAACCAAACACAATCAGCAAAAGCAGTTTATCATGCAGAAGCAGCAAGACCTAATGTATCAGTAATCTCAGGAATGTCGCAGGCTTTATTTTAGGGAGAACAAATCAAACACACTTTCATATCAGTGTGCGCGCACACACACACACACACACACACACACACTGCAAAAGCCCAAATTCTCCACACACCAGCTTCGTCCTTGACTGCTTTGACTCTGACAACATCTGTCTTGGTTTTGCTGACAGCACGCTGTGTCAAACTTTTTAAAGCTTGTCACTATATGCATGAGGAAAGACAGGTGACCCGAAACGTGTCACGGTAACCGTAAGGATCCCTTTGCAGTTCAAAGTGTTTGGAGTTATATTCATGGCTCATTTACGATTTGACATTTGAAACAAAACAAAACTGTTAAAGTAATATTATTATCACACATATTCATAGTATTTATGTTAGCTTGTTCTAATCACAAATATAACTCCATGTTCTGAAGTGAAATTGGCAAAGCACTTTTTAAAAGCAGCCACAAATGTAATACATAAAAAACTCAAGAGGCAAAAGGAAAATGACCTCAGCATAAATCAGAAAGTAATCTAAAGTGTCCAAGCATCTCGAGTTAATGTTAGTGATGCTTGAAAATATTTGTCAGAAGTTAATAGTTCATTTATTTTGAGATTTTAGGATCTCAAGATGATTTTTTTAAAATGTTATGTACTATCTTGGTGTCATTTTGCTGTACAGCATCAGGTTACATTTAATTAGTATTGAATTAAATGTAGATTTAGGATCATTTAATCCACAGAGAGAGACTGGATTAAATGGGTCAGACGAGGCGCCGTGGGTCGGTCCCATACCTGCGGCACTCAGTCTGCCTCACTGCTTAACTCTCCGCAGACTGGCACATTTCACTATCTGAGCACCTTTCTTCACATCCATAGAGTCGGGCTAATCGTGTGGAGACGACAGGGGGGGTTACAGCAGAAATAGAGAGTGATAAAAGGAGTAAGAGGTTGAGAGAATATTAGTAAAAAGAAACAGATGCAGAAAGAGATGAGAACAAAAGATGGAAATGTTTCAACAGAAGAAAACAACAGACTTGAAAAACAAATGGTAAAAGGGAAGGTAGAGAATAAAATAGAAATTATATGTAAACAGATGAGCAAAGATAGGACTGATGGAAGTTGGAACACAGATAAGACATTGTTTGTGGTTTAAAGTTAACATGCCTAAAAATGTTTAAATGAATGTCTGGACTTCTGTTTAAAGACATTTCAAATACCAGAATGTTGTGTTTCTACAGACAGAAGCAGTGAGAACTTCCTGACTTTTACTCATTTTAATGACTGTAAATGTTTGATTCAGAGGCAAGAAGACAAAAAAAATCACTCATCGTGCTCATTAAAGGGGTAAACGCAAGAGGGAAAAAAATTATTTCATTCAGTCACTGAAGTTTTTTTTTTATGAAGTGGAGTTGTGCAGAATCCTCAAGAGTAATCAGAATGTTACCTGGAGTAGAAATCTGTTAAAGTGATCTCAGTTTGAAGAACCAGGAAGTGTTTTTTAAACGAAACAGTCAGACTAACTAACAGCAGGATATATTTAAAGATGCAATATGTAGAAATAAAGTAAAATTTCCATCCTGTGGTGAAATTTGGTCACTGCAACCACTTTAATCAACTTTGGAGCTTTTTGTGAGCCGTTGTCAGACTGCAATTGTTGTTGTTGCAGTATTAGCGTGCAGGAGACATGGCAACCCCACACTCACTGATGGTAAACAAACACCCCTCCTTTCTTTGTTTTGAAAGGAGAAAAACTCACAATCCCCACAGCCAGCTGGATATGAAATAAGTCTCAGTTTAACCTTCCTTTCAAAATGACTGAAATGTTAGACTCTTTTGGGATTTTCTCATTGTAAAATTCTCACTATATTCTTACATATTGCACCTTTAATAGACATTTTACACCGTTTAAAACAGCAGAAACCCTAAATTCTACCAACAGTTTGAACAATGCTCTATTATGCATTTCTTTTTTTTTACTTTGCATTAGACAGTAGTTTTAATTCAATTTCATTTGGATGCAAATCAAATCTAATGTAAGGTATCTGCATAAGCCAGACTTCAGAAAACAAGAATGATTGGCTGGTGGAGTCAGCTGATCAGTGTTAGCACAAGTTAGCATTAAAAAAATCTAACATCTGTTTTTCTCCGTGTCTGGATCACTGACATCAATTTTTTGATGTGCATTTGTAGTCCTGGATGTATTTTCACACATAACCTAAAATAACTTATGACCTCGTTAGAAAATAAGCGCTTTCTTGGCATCAGAATGTATCTTAAAAATCCACGGACATCATATGAAATCCATGGCACATAACAAACGAGATTAGAAAATTGTGTTGTTTGCTAGCCTGGCCTGCCAGACTCATCCTCTAATTCTGCACAGAGAAAGAGTCTGGTAACTCACAGGCAGAGAGGCACACGAGGGGCGAGACTTGGCAGCTCAAAAATAACCAATCAGAAAAAATACGGAAATGCAGACTGTACAACGTGACGCTGTAGTTTTTTGGCTGTAGTAAAAAAAAAAAGGCGTTTGGCAATGGTGCAAATATCTTTTATTTTTTAGAAGAAAGGCTTTTAGCGCTTCTACTTGTGGTTTTAAAGACATTCAAGTCATTTCGAACAGAGGAAAGAGCTGCAGCGAACTCCGCCGCTGACTTCATTGTTTATGAGAAACTGAGCGTCGCTGTGAGTGACGTCCAAGACGTTGTAGTTTTTTAGCTGTAGTCAAAAATGGCGACTGGCAACAGACAAACATCTTCTTTTACAAGAAAGGCTTTTAGCGCTTCTACTTGTTGTTGTTTTAAAGACGTATCCAAGTCATTTAGAACAAAGGAAAGAGCTGCAGCGAACTCCAGTTCAGTCGCCATGTTTATGACAAACTCGGCGTTATGGTGTGTGACGTACACTACTCAGCGCTGATTGGCTCAGTTAGAATTCTCAGGGGGTGGGGTTATTTGAATAGGAGAGTTTCCAGACCCTTTCTCTGTGCAGAATTAAACAGAGGAAGAGTCTAGCAGGCCAGGCTAGTTTTTAGCCCCATTGACTTGCATTCATTTTTGTCATTGTTCCAGGCACCCATGGTCTGGAAGTAGATAGGCGTGATTTAGGCTCTGTATAAAAATTATTCATGGGATAGTGACCAGGAAGGTGAAACTGAAACAATATCTCACAATGACTGCTTAGCGACGTTCCCACAACACTTTCTCCTGATTCCCCAAACTGTGATCCCTGTACTGCATCAATCACTTCAGAAAAATCCAATCCCTTAAATGAAACATCCGCGTTAGGTGAAAGAATAGCTAAAATAATTAGGATTAGACAAAGATAATAAAACCACCAATGTGTTGATGAAGTAATGCATCCAAACCAAATTTCTCAGAGAACCAAATGATGAATTTAATCCTCTTACATGCAAAAAAATAAAAATATGAATGGCATATGGTAAAATTTACCACAAGTCCATCAAACATTCAGCATTTCATTAAAGACATGTTTTAAAGTCATCAGACTTATTGGTTAAACTATAAAAATTTCACTGACTGCCATAAAATTATTTTTCAGACCCCTAATAATTTATTTTAGCTGATTTTATTTATTCAAGCAACACTTTAGATAGATTTCAGCTGCCTCATCTGATATAAATAAATTAATATCAACGTTAGCTAAACTGGTGACACACGCGGCACTCCCCTGCAGATCAGAGGCCCACCTTGCTGCTATCGTGGCCCAGGATGGCGTAGCTCAAATACTGCTCAGCATTGCCCTCCAGATCGTTGACATCCTGCAGAGAGCCCTCCATGCTCATCTCCAGAACCCCTTCCTCTCCCGAACCCTTCCCTCTGCGCACAACCTTCCGCACAATCTATCACACATTTACACGGACACACAAAAAGACGTAAGGAAAAACAAAGAGGTGGGCAAGCCAAGAAAAAGATGGAGAGATGTTGATGTGATTTGAAGATAAATGCATAATGGTCATTTTTTGATGAAGAACTTTGGTTAAAACGATTATTCTTAGTGTAATAATCATGGTGTGGGGTGGAACAATGAGTAAAGCCAAACATCTGAAATATAAATCAATTCTAGAAGACACAGACCTTTTTTGTGACAATGTTTCCATGTTCATCCGTGAACTGTTCCTCGCTTACTTGCTCTCCGGGGAGATCTTCAGCTTCATCGCCCTGTAGATAATAAAGTAAATGTAACAACTTCTCTCTCAAAACTTTTCCTTTCCTGGTTCATGCATTGGATGTTTTATCAGCTGACGTCACTTTTGCAAAGTTTTCTTAGCAAACAGAAGCGGAGTACAAACAAGGGGTGGAATATACAGGGATGAATTCCTCATTTTCAACACACGCCATGTCTCAAACGTTTGGAACAAATGTTCTTGTTTTCCATGGACACATATACAAAAATAGTCTAAAGTGGAGATGTAGCAAATGAATTGGACATGCAGACATAGACTGAGTCAGAAATTTCGATTTTAACTCAAGTAATTAATGTTTTCTTCAAACTTTGCTTGCCACCCTGTTCTGGGTGGGTTTCTGGGAACGGGGGATGTCTATTGGGGCCAGCAGGGTAGCTGACTCCCTGGTAGGGCTTATGTAACCAAATCTTTCCTCCCTATCCTCAGACATTTCCTTCTCCTGCTCCATCCCATCACCACACATACACTCACATAGGGCCTTGGGGTGTGGATAAGTTTAGGGGTGCAGAAATGGTTCCCATCTCTGCAGTCCTACACCCCAATTTTATTTTGCAACATGAACACTTCCACCAACGGCATTCCTCGCAAATGCACTCTTAAGGCCTTGGGGGTGAGCACACTCAATGGCACCTGGAGGTGGGAGATCTTTTCACTCAGCTTGGCACCGGAGGCCACATCTTTAGGCTGTATCTAGACACTGAGGGTTTTAAGGGGAGTTGGGGTTGTGTGCTGACACCAGCTGGTGTAGACCAGAGATTTCTGCACTGCCCCATCCCCCCACCAGTTTAAAATGAACCCTATAATAACACAAATCAACACCATATTCATGCAGGCAGAACGACACTAGAGGTCTTCTCACACTGCTGTTCTTAGTTTGCTGCCCAGGGCTGGAGGCTAGGAGTGGGAGCTAGCCATCTAGTTGGACTCTGGGGTAGTGGGTCACTTTGCCATGTGTTGGGTGGGGTTGCCTGCTTATCGTTACCCCAGTAAGAAAGGGACCTTCTCCTGGGTCCAGGAATGGTTGTGCCAGCTAAGCATCAGTACCTGAACCAAAGTGTGAAGGGTGTGCTCTGCTCTCTCCTGGACTCAAAACCAACAACAGCCTTCCCCGTCGCAAGCCATGATGGGTGAGTCCCATCCATCCATCCATCCATCCATCCATCCATCCATCCATCCATCCATCCATCCATCCATCCATCCATTTTCATCCGCTTATCCGGACTCAGGTCGCGGGGACAGTAGCCTAAGGCGAGAGGGCCAGACTTCCCTCTCCCCAGCCACTTGGGCCAGCTCCTCCGGGGGAATCCCAAGGCATTCCCTGGCCAGGTGAGAGACATAGTCCCTCCACCGTGTCCTGGGTCTACCTTTAGGTCTCCTCCCAGTTGGACGTGCCCGGAAAACCTCACCAGGGAGGCGTCCAGGAGGCATCCTGACCAGATGCCCGAGCCACCTTAACTGGCTCCTCTCGATGTGGAGGAGCAGCGGGTCTACTCCGAGCCCCTCCCGGATGACCGAGCTTCTCACCCTATCTCTAAGGGAGAGCCCAGCCACTCTTCGGAGAAAACTCATTTCGGCCGCTTGTATCTATGATCTCGTTCTTTCGGTCACTACCCAAAGCTCATGACCATAGGTGAGGGTAGGAACGTAGATCGACCGGTAAATCGAGAGCTTCGCCTTCTGACTCAGCTCTCTCTTCACCACGACAGACCGGTACAACGCCCGCATCACTGCAGATGCGGAATGGGTGAGTCCATGAATGCTAATTTTGAATGTGACATAGATTTTAGTGGGTTTTTTAATTCAAGCATTCTCCCATCTATTTCCTATCAGCGAGTAATGCAGGAAATAGGAGTGGAAGACTTTTTTTTACATTTTACATTTTAAACTCAGAGTGACCAATGCCATTTCAAACATATCAAGTAAAAAATAGTTTCTCAGTGAATTTAGTCTTTAACAAAAATAATAATATTCTGTTTATAGATTCTCATGATGACAGTGTTGTGGCTGCATGGAAAACACAGCTGTTGCTGTTTTCACTGTCATGCACCAGAATTATGTCTCTACAAAAATCAATCCGATGAACAACAGACAGTTCAAGGGTCAAAGGATTTTTCTTTGGGTGGGGGGGCAGTAGGGATCCACAATGCTGAATAATAACATTTTTCCCTTTATAATTACAGATCATGAGGTTAATGATTATGTAGTTAAAGCTCTAAATAATCTATATTCCGCACATTATTCATAAGCTAAGAGAAACTAATGCAGCTGGAGACGTACATTGGAGTTTTTCATTAAAAACTGCGACTTAGACTTGTTGATGTGAAGATAAAGTGTTTTCATTTGCAAAAATAAATCATAAATTTGGCAACAACACGAACTTTACCGACACAGGGTAAACTATTATTACAACATGAGTTACAACATGTTGGCAAATGTCTCTTTCAGATGCAATAAGACTCATCAAACCTTCCACAAACACAAGGCTTCCATTTTTAATTCGCAACAATAAAACTTTAAAAAAGTATTTCTCTCTATCCCAGCTTTCACACGGGTAAATACTTTTTCCGAACTTTTGCTTCCCTCGCCTCTGCCTCATATTTTGTACCTTTAGGATGACTCTGCGGCGGACCACCCTGGTAGTCATGTTCTCCTCTTCATCGGCTACTCCCTCCACCTCACCGAGCTCATGGTCCAGCTGAGCGTGAATGTAAATGAGCACAGACCGCACTGAGCCACTGGCTATGTGGAGGACATTCTGACAGCTGATCACCAGAAAGGCCAGCAGCACAAAGCTGAAGAGGAGCTCAGTCACCAGGGCCCACATCAACCCAATTAGTCCGCAGCAAATCTACACAAATGCACCAAACTGCACAAGAATGCAGCCTCAGCCAGCCCTCGGTAGCTCCTGTCTCCCACAAAGTCCTCTGAGCTGTGAAACAAGCTAACAGCTGCAGCCCTCTGCCTTTCGCCACTGTTTCAGTCAAACTGGTGCCATGTCTTTCAGTCCGTATCTGTCCTCCTTCAGCTGGGGAAGTGGGCCCTTCTCGCCGGGTTTCTTCTTTCTCCTTCTGACGGTCTGATCAGTGGGACAAAGTCACAGATGTCAAGGGGGGGAAAAAAGACTTCTATTTACACCTCTCTCTCTTTCTGCCCGCGTGACCTTTGGGCTTTAAATAGCTTCTCCAGTTTGGCTTTATGTGCTGTGGTAAGACACCAGTTACCGTCCTTTCACACTGAAACTTCAAACTAATTGTCTTTTCTCACAATACACTCAACCAGATAAAGTTGTGTCCCTAAATACACCATGCAGACACCAGAGTAAGCCAGTGAATGAAACCACAAGGAGCTCTTTAAGCCCATTTAGCGTCATTCAATAATAAACCCACAAAGATCCTGAATTCAGCACCCCAGATTAGCCTTCCTGGTGGAGAGTGTCCTTTACAGTGGGATCTCTGAATGTTAGCATGTGGGGAAGGTTGGGGTGGGGGTCATGCAACATGAGCAGGAGAGTAAGAATCTATATTTGTCCCTACATGCTGTTTGTGCCCATGTTGGGCTCACCACTCTGTGTGTACTTGTGAATGTGCTTTGTGAAATGCTCCAGAGATGAATATAAAGCAGATTTTAGTGTGGTATCTGGTTCTTTAGGGTTTAACTTATTGTGTTAACATTTTCTCTAAACTGTATCTGCAAAACCAGCCTGAAAATGTGGGACTCTCATTGAGGATTGGTTTAATGAGCATAATCATAAAAATGGAAAATTAACCCGTTTTGCATTTGAACGGGATGGGTGGCCAATGACTGTCGCATAAGCTGGAAGGCTTAGAAGTGATTGTATTGGAGAAGAAAAATTACTACCACTGGGAATAGCTCTGAAAGGACTGGGATAAAGAAGTCATTAATCCGGTCAGTTTGGAAGTCTGTAAGTCTAACTTGCAGCCACATTTCTGTTTAAACATCAGAAACAAATATCTTTGTAAGCAACTGGTCAGATAACTTCAGTTTGGAGAAATCACAGTGATACCAGTTTTACCACCATCCTAGAACAATTTCATAAACTGGTATAAATGAGAATTAGGACCTCCAAATTCTAGACTGTGATTTTCAGCTGGAAAAGGGAAGAATGTCTTGTATAGGTCAGGGACTGGCCTTAGCCAGTTGAGGTGGCTTGGACATCTGGTTAGGACTCCTCTCTGGTGAGGTTTTCCATATACATCCAACTGGGAGAACACCTAGGGGAATACCCAGGACATGCTGGAGCGACTATGCCTTGGAATGCCTCAGGGTTCAGCGGAGAAGCTTGTCCAAGTGGCTGGGATGAGGAAAGTCTGGACCTCTCTGTTTAGGCTGCTGACCCCGGATAGGCAGAAGAGATGGATTGATGGCTATAGACTGTTTGATATCTGAGTTTTTTAGCATGGTCATACTTTTGGTGTTGGACCCTCTTGGACTAGCCATTAAATCATCAGTCTATTTTGCCAAACGGAGGATATTCCAACAGCTATCTACAACAGATTATTAATAGTTCATGACGATTTACAGAAACACAAACACAATGTAAATAAATCTAATGTGTTGTAATCAAAGTATTTGTATTTATGTCTGCTGTTTATTGTAATGGAATCTACGTTGGTGATGTAAGGACACATGATGTAAGGACGACCTGCTCACCTGGCCCCTCAGGCGCATGTCGTCCCAGCCTCGCAGCTCTGGTACCCTGTGTGGAAATCCCAAACCCTTCTCAAAAGGCTGGGTCCCTCTGAAGTGCCCTCGTAAAATCTCAGAGTGCCCCATGTCCCTCACCGGCTGAAGCAAGGCCTCCTGAGCCATGCGGGTCTGCTCTGCATCTACAGCATTCCGTACTGATGAAACGACATTCTCCATGGCCTGTCTGGGCTTAGATTGGATCCCAACCCAAGCTTGAGTTGGGTCGGTGACAGGGATCCATCCGGGACCTGTCTGCTCCTGCAGGTAGGAGAGAAAAGTGCTTCCACCTCCTCCGTTCTGACCGTTGCCTGACCTGAAGGGGAGATTAATGGATAGATAAGGAGGTCATCTTCTAATCACACTTCAATCACAAAACAACTTTTAGAATTCCCTTATTTTTATCAAACTACAGATCCAACAAAAAATGGATCATTTCTGATTGTGACTTTGTAAAAACTGGGATGTAAACAGAAGATCAAACCAACCTGTCTCCATTATGATCAGCAACACAGCTCAGACCAGCTGACTCACTCAGCCGGGCATACAGCCTTTGCTGTCCTGCAAAAAGAGAGAGTCCTTCCTCTGAACCCATTCCACCTTCTCGTCCTCCTCCTCCGGCTCCATCTCCACCTGTCGTACTTGTGAATGCGGATGCCTCTGAGCTGGCCTCTGACCCCTGACCGTTGTTCAGCCCGTTAAGATTCATCCCGGAGATGGTGCCCCCAAGCGAGGCTGGTGTGGTGGTGCTGAGGGAGTCTACGCCCATCTCCGAATCGTCTTCTGGCAACTCAATGGAGCCACTAAGCACCCCACCCCCTCCGCTGGCCGCGCTGGCCTGACTGGCCGGCCGACCCAGACTTCCATACGGCAGTCCCAGCAGACGCTCTGAGTCATCAGCATTGCTGCACTCCAGCGATGAATCCTCCACAGGCACTAATGAGGGGCTGTTGCCTGAGGGCCACACCTGCACATCAGACATCTCCATGAGGGTGTCTTCTTCTGTGGTGGCAATAGGTGCACAGTCCAGACTGGAGACTTCCTGCCAGTAAGACTCAGCACCCAGCGGGGAGGGTAGGCTGTATTGCATGGAGGCCGGCGAGAGTAGCTCTTCCTGCGCAAGCCCATAACCTGAAGCGAGACAGAGAGAGGCACACTGACACCCGGCCCCCCGCCTCGCTCCCTACCTCACCCCCACAGCATCGGTACCTTGGGAGGGGGGTAAGTGCCCCTGCCCAGGATCTGGGCAACTAGGGGAGAAGTAGAGGAGGCTGAAGGGACAAATGGGAGAGGAGAAGGGATGGAAAGAGTGGGAGTGGGGGCTGAAACAATAGGATCTGGAATCAAAGTGCAACTAGCTCGGAGAACAAGAACAGCTTTTAGAAGGAGGGGGGCTTCAAGCTCAGTCAGCCAGTGTTGACGATGCGAGCAGCAGCAGCAGCAGCAGACACAGCCAGACTGACCGAGAGGCTTAGGTTCGGACCCAGACCCAGCAATGACTGATGCTGCTCCGCTGGCTGCTACCTGCAGGTTACTGATACCTGTCCAGCAGGGACACACACTTACTCTGACACACACACACACACACACAAACTCACGTTCAGTGATGCATGCGTTCAAACCCTCTCAGGAACAGGCAGGTTATTATCGTTGTCAGGCTGGACAGCATGCATGCAGGCAAAGTTCATTCTCTCCTCAATTTTACACACACACACACACACACACACACACACACACACACACACACACACACACACACACACACACACACACACACACACACACACACACACACACACATCATCCCACTTCACACAGCTGCTTGATTTAACTCAGAAATGGAGTGTATGGTTTTTGATGCACCATGTAAACACAATAACATAATACTTAAAGAAGCCACATGGCTTTAGCCCGAAAGTAAAACTTTTAGAAATAATCAGTGTGATAAGGACTCAGGCCACTCCTACAGGGATGACTGAACAGTCTCGCCAATCATTTTTGCTCTCGTTGTTTCCACAGCAACAGGAGTATATTGATTTTACAACATTTCGCACCATGGTAAATGTGTTAAAGGCGTAAACATCTGGAACAATTGTCCAGAAAGGTACGGTCGGTTTTAAGAGACTTTATGAAGAAAATATAATTTTTTGTTAAAGTTGGGAAAATTACTCTTGGATTGTGTGTTGCAATTTTTTGTTTTGTGGTGTGGAGAGGTTTACTGACTAATTTAGAATCTGTGATTTTTGGTGTTATGGTGATTTTCTAAGGTAAAAGGGGACGGTGAACATTTTAAGCTCTGCTTCTGCCTGCGTCGTTTCAGATACATAAATCAACTGGATTCAGTTGTTGGCACTGAAATAAAAATAATTCATTCAAATTGCAATTGGATACAGAAAAGTACATTTAAATGCTATTAGCAGTGTCCTTTACCTTACCAATAATACAATAAGACACTGAAACTGGGACTTGTGCAGTAAGTCCGGAGCTCATCAGGCAGACTGTATACCGATGAGGTTACCGTCCGCAGCGCAGGCTGTAACGTGACTCATAGCTGGCTCAAGACTCCTGCTGAGAGCGCTGGGGATATTTGAGACACCAAGCAGTAAAAAGACCTCTTGTCCTACTTTCTCTTTCACCCTCTCAGCTAAAGTCAATCAAAAGACACCTCATGCATATTTATGTTGTCTATTGAAGATTGATTCTGCAAAAGAAAATCAGCTGCATTCATCTTTATGATCAACGCTGATGAATATCTTTACCTCTAGCTTAACTTTTATGAGGTCCTGATTGTGAAGTAAGCCTAACTAAATTACCGCTACGTCTTTTTACATTTAGCTTTTCAAAACTAAACAAAAAAGATTTTTTAACCATATTTATTTACAAAATTACAGCTTCATGTCTAAATGTTCATGTTGAATGAAACTTTATTGTGAAGAGCAATGACAAAAACAGTTTTCTATCATTGGAGAGAGAGAGAGAGAGAAAATTATTTAGATGAGACAGAAATAAAGGGAGGTGTGAGATGTGACAGATTTCATTGCGCGACCTCCTGACTAAAGATGAAAAAGCAGAGAAGCTCGCATAAAACACACACGTAGAAGATAGGACGTCTTTTTGCCTGCACACACATGGGTACATATGTGCCAACACTTATATTTTACTAAACAAAACACACATAGACACTCACGCTGATACACTCACACAGATCAATGCAACAGCATTAAACAATTAACATGTTTACAATTGGAGGAGGAAGAGGTCGACCATCAACATTAAATCACATCCAAAGAGATGCAGACAGTTTAGATAAAATTAGGGACACACAAAACAACCATGACATTCATACACAAGTCAACAGTTAACAGAAAAAAAGGGTCTGTGGCCTTTTTTAACCCCCGACTGAGGAGTAACAGAGTCATTCTCTGTGTGCATGCCATGCAGTGATGCATCTTCAATGCTGCGTTTGAAACATCCAACAAGCAAGTGCTACTGCTGCCTATCATCCCAGTGCCTCCATGCAAACGCACAGGAACATGAGCAATGGACGTCTGGTGCACATGCAGGAGGGAAGGGAAAACAGGGATGGGAAAAAAGGGAACGGAGAGATCAGGAAGAAAGAAAGGAAGAGAGATGACGAACACAGATAGAAACGATGTCAGAAAGAGAGAGGGAAAAAGTGAGGGTCACCTCCCCCCTCCCGGTGGGTGCTGGAAACAGTCGGTGTGAGGGATTTCTGTCACAGAGTGGACACCAAAAAAAGGTGGGGTTTACAGGAGTAAAAACAAAGGTGGGGGGGGGAAGGGGTAAATGCACCAGTCGCAGAAAACAAACAAAAGAAAAGCTTAAGATGTGGGTCAGAGGTCAGCATGAGATCGGCATGAGGTCAGAGTTCGGAGAGGAGTGAGAAGGAGGAAGATAAGGGCTGCTAGGCTGCAGATGACATGTCCAGAGAAACACAGAGAGGGACAGATTCACAAACACGGCTCCAAAAAGGACATTCAGTGCACCGACATTAACCTTTAGGAGACTCAAACTACAGGACATGCAACCACAGGCAGAAAGAGTTCAGATGCCCTCTGGTAAAACTAAAGCTACCCTTCCTATAAAAAAAATCCTTCCTGTCTATTTTGTTGCAAAGCTTGAATAACATTTGAAATTTCCTGAAAATAGTTTAAAAATCCAGCAGCCTGTGTGTATTTAGGGTTACCTAAAGTGTTTCTGTTTGTTACAAACTCACTATTGGGCTTTTATAGATATCAGAATTGCAGTTGTTTTTAAATGCATCTTGTCTCTAAGTTAAGATTTAGCTTGATTGGTAAAAAGAGATTTTCTTCGCAAAGGCATCAAATTAGTAATTACTAGGCATGCACCGATACCGATACAGTATGAGTAAGTTAACCGATACCATTGCAGTTGCCTGAATGTGGCTTCACTGCAGCTTGTCATTTCTGTTCACCTAATATTTTAGTTTTGTGATAATTTCTATTAATATATAATTTTTTTATCTACCCCACAGCCTTTTCCTATTGAAAGCAGAGAGGAAAATAAAACCTGCATTCCAATTCATTGCATTTTTTGTGTGACAGAAGTATCGGTATCGGTAATCGGTATCAGCGAGTACTCAAATCCAAGTATCGGTATCGTATCGGTTTGGAAATAAGTGGTATCGGTGCATCCCTAGTAATTAAACCAAGAATAAAACAAAAATCCACAAAGGTGTGGAAAATCTGAGAAAATCGGAGTCTGTATTTTAAGGTTTGTGACTGTTGCATTTTATTTCTTAGATGAATATTAAATCAATTTTGACTTATTTTCTTTTAAAATTTTCAGTATTATTTGATGCTTTGAGCAAAATATTTAGATAACATTTTTCACCAACCCTAACCGCCAGACCTCCTTTTTTTGCCAGATGTGTAAAATTAAGACTTTAATGGACTCTGTATAACAACATGAGCTAGGCTAAAAGACCTCAAAAAGCAACATATCACGCCTCGTTCAATGACGAACCCAGGACTACATCTAAAGCCTGACTTTTACGTTTCCGTCAGCTCGAGTGCGGAGTTGCACACACGCATTGACGAAGTTGTTCTCCTTTCAGAGTTTTCCATCGCCTGAGAAGTGTTGCAAGGCAAATCCTCATCAGGACAAATACGTCCCTCATACTCCCTCTTTTCTTGCAGTCACCACATCCAAACCCACATTTTTCTGAAATTTCCCTCCACAAATAAAAAGTTTGCTGCATATCTTTGTATTCCTTCAGTCGTGGGTGTATAAATATTGTTACAGTTGGACTTTTCCAGTGAGGCGTTCTTCAATTTGCTCAGTATTTGCCACTAAATATAATAGATTTTTTTTAGGGGAAAATGAAAGTGCTGTTGGCAAATTTACAGGAAGTCGTGTCATGACCAGTCACAGGCTTGTAGTCTCCGTCAGTTTCTACGGACAGTTAAAAACTGGGTCATATCTCTGTAACCCCTCGAGGGCCTTCCGCAGAACCCTTGCATCCCTGGAGTTGTGTGTCTCTGCACCTATACAGTCAAGTACAAGAGTACAAATCTGGCTTAAAGGCATCAGCTGGTTTATGTTAGATCAGAGGTCATGTGTCAACAATCACTAAAGAGATGGGGGTTGGGTTGAATAATATTTTCCATTATAAGCATTAATACTCATTTAAAAACTGCATTTTTTTAATTTGCTGTTGCTATCTTTGTCTGGTTGTAAAATTTCTTTGCTTGTTTGAAACGTTTAAGACTGCCTCGTCATCTGCACTGGATAAACGGACGGAGCTGGCTGAGGAAGAAGAGCAACTCGCACCAATCTAGAGGTGAAAATGTAAATAAAATTTTAAATTATGCATGTTCACGACAAACCTAGAGGCAAGAGAGCCAGGGGACAATGTAAGAGATGAGACTTTACTAGCAATCTATGGGTGTCGATCTTTTACTAAAGAGAATTTGTTTATTAGCTAAGCAAACTATCTAAAAACCTATTTAAATGTCACATTTTTATCTATAGTACTATAAGATGTTTGCTTATTTCAGTAAAATCTAGCAAACGTTAAAACACAGTTATGCTGCTTGTAAAAGATCAGCAGTTTATTTACCACAAACATGGTGAAATAACCAGATTATTTGTCCACCGAATGAATTCATCTACATTTATTGTGCATTCTTTAAACTTTCTCCTGCAGACGTCTCGGTGGTAAATAGATGGTGGAGGTACAGTAGGAGTGTCCTGAGTCCCGACGCATGAGCTGAGGAAAAATCCTGCAAAATTTCAACGTTTGTGGCAGCTTGCCCCAAAAATGGGAGATGAAAAACAAAACCAGAGGTCATTTATAGAAAAACAAACTTTTGTCTTTGGGTTTTTTTTAGAGAAGAGAGAAAGTGCAATGGTGCTTTAAGATTTGTGAATGTGTTCAGATTTACGGTTTGTGTAGAAACATGTTAACATCATGAGATTTTCATGACAGTTTTGTAGCTATTTATGAAAACTGCTATGTAAAATATATGTTTGTGATCAGTGGTAATCAGGTAGGAGATAGATTAATCTAGAGTCTTCTATAAAACCAAAAAGCCCTTGTGACCTTTACTAATCCACCAGAACTCTGAACATTATTGTAAAAGATCCATAAACATCCCAGAGTTTATTATTTCTACACAAAGACAACAACTTCACCTTTTCCTACAAGATTCTCAGAGCTGATCAGCAGTGTAACTAGAATGAATTTTTTTTTTAAAACAAAGGTTTTGCTTAAGGACGTCTTCGTCAAATTATTTAAGGCTGTGGTCGTAGCATGATGTCATCAAGGAGAAGAAGAAGAAGAAGATTTGAAATCTGAACAGCTTTTGCTCTCCTAATCCCCTCCCCTTCTGGAAGGAGTGGAAAACTCTGCCTCACATAATATACGCACATACATCTATGTAGCGCTAACGGAAAAAGTAATGTTTTCAATATGTTCCTGCTCAGACACACTTGATTCCAACTGTGAAATTATCTTCTCAGCATTCACCTTAGCTGCTAATAACTCGTTTTAATCAAATATGCCATTTTCAAGCAAAGAAACATTTAAAATGGTCGTAATCCAACACTCGTGATGCTAGCACCCCCCCGCTAACCTTACAACAGGCTAACATAATAGTCTGATGTAGGGCAGAGTTGAACGCTATGCTAATCACTTAGCTGCAGTACACGAGATTGAGCCCTTTTCATTCCCCTCCCTCCTTTTCCACATTTAGCATGAAGTTTACAGACTGAGTTTAAATGAGGGTTGCATTCGCATTCAAGCTAGGTTGGTGTGCTAAGCTTACTGAAGTGTCTGCGTCACCTTTTAATGCAGGCTGAGAACTGGGGTACATTCTCGTTGTACATACGCTGCCAATCACTGGCATTCGACACATTTTTCAAACAAAAAGTGTGGGTGGAGTAAGACTCTGGTAGGAGGGTGACTTGCTCTTTAAAAATTTAAACTTTGTGCCCCAGCTTTAAACTCTGGTTACGTCTAGGAGAGAGCACCTTAAGCTGAGTTCACAAGACTCACAAATCTTTAGCACCACTGCATGTTTTTTGGACAAGTAGCTTTGGATCAAGTTGGTGAGGACAGTGGGAATGGGCTGCACTGTGAAATGTAGGGAGATCTTACCATTGGTTATACCAGGGGAGAGGTGGTCTCTGTTGTTGTGTCGACGCTTGCTGAGATCACAGGAACTCTGTCTCAGTGGCTGAGGCGGTTGACCTTCCAACATGCTGATGATGTCCAAACGGTCAATATTCTTCAGGGCCACGTATAAGCTCTCCACTGCAGAGAAAACACAGGAAGGGGACTCAAGCAGCCAAAACAGGCAGGTAACACTTTACAGTAAAAGACACTAAATTGTGCCTCTTTATTAGGTAATGACTTAGGAGGTAATGAGTCATGGGCCAGGGACTAATAGGTAGTTAACCAGTACTTACTGGTAAAATTACCTACTAGTTTAGTTCAAGGACTAATGGTTAGTTATCATTACTTTCTTATTATTTACTTAATAAGTACTTGAAGTACCGAGTAAGTAATGATTAGTTCTTCGGAAGGTACTTGAGAGGAGGCTTCACTTTACTTTAGGGGACACAAATGTAGTAGGTAATGTTTGAGTACTGAGTAAGTACTGATTAATACTTCAGTAAGTACTTGAGAGGAGGTTTCACTTTACTTTAGGGGACACAGATGTAGTAGGTAATGGTTGAGTACTGAGTAAGTAATGATTAATACTTCAGTAAGTACTTGAGAGGAGGTTTCACTTTACTTTAGGGGACACAAATGTAGTAGGTAATGGTTAAGTACTGAGTAAATAATGATTGGTTCCTCTTTTATTCCTCAGATAACAGTTCCCTGAATGAGATTGGTGGGTGTTTTCACCAGTAAGTACTGGTTAACTACCTGTTAGTCCCTGGTTCATTACTCACTGCCTCCCAAGTTGTTCCCTAGTAACGATGCACAATTTTGTGTTCTTTATTGTAAAGTGTTACCAACAGATGAAATACAGATCAAACTCTAATCGTGTTCTCCTACTTTTGGCCCTTTTGCCTTCCCGAGTGGCCCACAGATTGAGGAGTGCAGAACTCTGCTCAAGAAGGGAGTTTGGATTCTCAACACGGATCCTGTTGATATCGTCCACGCTGAGCTGAAGCTCACGGGCCAACTCTGTTCAGAGAATGAAGCGAGGAACATTTAGAAGAAAACTGCTTTCTGAACACTGCAAGAAAAACGATGTTTACCATGTAAAACATGTGTGGCTGCTGGCTGAAAGACAGTAAATAATGAGTGTAATTATCCTGCTACCATGTTATAACATTGACATGAGTAGAACTGAGCTAGTTCTGTTTGTCTGACACAAGAAAAACATGTTTCACAGAAAAAACAGACACTGTTTACTCTCACTGTGGACTCACCGGCCCAGCTGAGTCCCAGCTGCTCTGCTATCACAGCCATCTTCAGCTCCGTCCTCTCAATCGCACTCATAGATGCTGGAAAAAAGAATAGAGGATTGAGCAGGACTGAAACTTGTGCTTCTGACTTTGTTAGATTTGAGGAAGTTTGTATTTCCTCTCAAAATGTCACTGAAAACAATCTGAGGAAGCAGGGGTGGGGAACCCTGGTCCATCGAGGGCTGCTATCCAGCATATTTTAGTTTCAGCCCTGCTTCAACACACCTGATTTCAATTAGCAGGTGATTAACAGGCTTCTGCAGAGCTTGATGAGCTGCTGCACAGGCGATTCAACCACTGAATCAGAAGTGTTGGAGCAAAGACATGCAGGATACCGGCCCTCGAGGACCAGGGTTCCCCACTCTTGTGACAAAGTAAGGTTCTGCTGCTTTCTCAAGTATGTGGAAAAAAGTGTGAGAATTAAAGCCTCGCACCTATAGCAGGCTCATTCAGAGCGCTGTATCTTTCTCTTAAAGCTAAAGGGGTCAGAGTTCGTCTCCGCTCTTCACTCCCAATAATCTGCTGTTGGCAAGCAAACAACAGCACCGTCAAACTCAGGAAATCGACTGTGATGCATTGTGTCTCCAGCAAAGGTAACCTTTAGCTTTACCTTCATACATGGCGGCATTGAGATGTTGAGGTTACAGAGCACTTGTTGGCTGTCCTCATATTTTGTGGACTTTCGCAGAAACGATAAAAATCCAGTGGGTTCTTTAGTACCATCTCTCACCTGCAGTTTAAACATAAATGACCATTAGTGAAGAGGAACTCTCGTCAAGGAAGTATTGATGGAAAAATAAAATTTAAAAACTGAAGACATTCAAATGCTAACACCTTAACGGAGACTGGGAGTCGGTTATCCTTGAAAGCCTGGAAACTGAAGCAGCGTGGTTGCTGTGTGGCCTTCCTCACTGGCATGAGATTACCTGAACACTCCAGGTGAAGAGGCATTCCCTCCATCACCTGCAAGATAATTCCTTATATATCAAGAATCAGATCCTGTTCTCCATAACAATTCTGCCTCTGAAGCCTTTACAGCACAAACACCTCCCTTATCATGTAACTGACCTCTATGTCTCGACTGCGAGCCACCTCTGTAAAGTTCTCGTGCTGTTCCAGAGTTTTATCCATCTTATCGTCGGTCATGCAGTAGCAGCGTAGGCGGCCCTCACGCAGCTCATTCATCTTTGCAAACACCACAAACTTGGCCATGTAGGGGACGGCAGACAGCTCTTTGTAGAGCAGGTTGGCGAAAGAGACGGCCTCAGCTGTCCGAGGACAGTCCGCCAGCCAGAATCTGGAAGGAAACAGTCACATAGAGCGCTCATGTTGACTTTAAATTAGTAGTTCAACAGCATACTGTCAATTTACTTTGATGTCACTGTGCACAAAATTAGTATTGAAGAGGTCGTTATTTGTGTTCTGTACTATAATTATCAGGGATGCTCGATATAGGCTTTTTTTTTACTGATATCCAATATAAAGATATTGCCTGATTTTTTATTTCCGATACCAATATATACCGACACCGATAGATGCTCGGTTACTGTTAGGTTCTGACATCATTGATCTCCTTTCATGCATGCTAAAATGTTAAAAATGTTCTGTGCAAAATGACAAATACCTCAAGTTAGTAATAGGGAGAGTGCCAGGTTTATTTTGTCTGTCTGTATAAGGAACTGAGATGAAGACAAGATGAGAGGCTTGCCAGAGAGGCTGACAGAAGGACACACACATATGCACTCGCCCCCAAGACACGGAGTCCCGTGAAGCAGAGGAGCACTGTCCCGCGAGGTGGACAGACTGCAGGGCACAGCTGATCAAGGTGGAGGTTTTCCTCTTCCATGTTTGTGAGCACCACTACACCTCTATATACGTACACCAGGAGATGGCCAAGACTGCTGCTGGGAAAACGCGCTGTAGCGCTGTGGTGAATGCCTGTACTAGTGCTTCTGTTTCTGTCCAAGATGGAGTGGGCGTGGCGTATCTGGAGGAGGAATCTCTGCAGGGATGCAGACATGACCTGCACTTGTATAGCATCTTTTAGAGTCAGAAGACTCCAAGACACTTCACATTACAGTGTAAATTCAGTGTAGATTCATCCATTTGCACACACGTCACACGCTGATGGTGATGAGCTACAAGGTAGCTACAGCCGCCCTGGGGTGCACTGACAGAGGCGAGACTGCCGAGCATAGGCGTCACTGGCTCCTCCTACCTGGCCATTTGTGTTAAGGATCGCACTGAGAAGATAAACTGCTGGCTGGGTGGAGGTACGAGAGATCAGCTGTGTTTGACAGCCCTGCACGAGGATCACATCAGCGATCGAATCCCCTCAGCTGACACAACCAGTAATTTTTTAAAGACCCTTTGATTTGTGCCTCATGTCTCCAAAAATATCAGTTGTGATCTGTGTTTTGGGTTGTCTGGGTTGCTTGCTCACCCTTGGATTCAGGTCAAATATTTGTGATTGGCCACATGAAGACATCGCATGCTCACACAGGGCAAACTCTACTTCACAAATGGTGCCAAATAATCTAAAACATCCAGAAAGCTCTACCTCAGAACTGTCTTATTTTGACATTTTTAAAGAGAGGAAAAGTAAATGAAGAGTTTGATGTATAATATTTGCATTGCATGAAAGACTGATAATCAATAGATATTTTCCAAAATTTCACTTTAACTCCAAAATCGGTTGTTAATAAAGGCCGACCACTGGAAATCCCTAGTAACAATATATTTAGCCAGTTGGAAGGTTTCTCACAAACTTCAATGTCCACACCTCATTTAGACATGAGAGTCTGAGATGCTAAAACACACCGTTGAGAACCTCATAAAAAATAAAGAAACAAAGTGCAGAAATTGTGTTTGATTGCAATCATTTCTTATTTGATTTTAGATTTAAACTGAATAAAATGTATTGGCTTGACAAAGATATTCAGTTTCTTAGCACACTATAGGCTGATGTTTTAAATGTTTGCATCTGAACTCACCGAGCTGAAACGTTAGTTGTGAAGCTGGCGCAGTCGTTGGTATATGCAAGCTTAGTGGTGCCTGTAATGTCTTCCCATTGGGCTGAGGCTGTCCCACCTGACAGTCAGAGAGGGAGGGAGACAGCAAACTCAGGGGGAAGGTCAGAGAAAAGAAGAGTAATGACGGGACCCCCAAGCGCACGCACACACACACACACACACACACACATTCTCGTCAAGCATCCATTGTGAGGATCGTCACTGGCTTCTATTCATTTTAGTGACTGGATTGTGCCTAAAGCCTGATTCATGCTTCTCCGTCTGCGTCAGTGCGGAGACACGCAACGCCATTATCCGTCCTTGCGTAGGGATCCGGCAGGCACGCAAGTACGTACGGAGTCGAGCCCACTTTTTTAAACATCCATCGAACGAGACGGATTACGCAAACTTGTGATTGGTCAGGACGCTGCTGTTGTTTACAGCGCTGCCATTGCAAAGAGAGCCGAGGATAACTAGCGGCAGACACGGAGAAGCTTGAAGAATACCTCGCGAAAAAACTCTAAAAATATGAACGTTTAATTCTCCCGTGACTGGAGGAGTGAAAAGATGTGCAGCAAGTGTTTTATTTGTGGACAGAAATGACAGGAAACGTGGGTTTAGAGGTGGGGAGCGCATGAAGAGGTGGGAGAATGAGAGAAAAATATGTCCATGTTAAAAGTCTCTTATATACACAAAAAACACAATACAAACACTATCTTGGACCGATACATGACAGGATACCACAGAACAGCGCTACGCCCTCTGTTGTCCTGCCGGGCAATTGCTTTGCAACACTCTCCAGGAGAAGGAGAAGTATGAGAGCAAAACGCTTCCGTCAATCCATGCGTGTCTGTCCCTTGCGGAGCTGACGGACAAGCATAAACCAGACTTAAGCCTAACCCTAGCTCTAACCATAACCAGTCTACTCCTAACGCTAACCTTAACTAAAACTTAATTCCCATAATACCTCTAAAAGTAATGAGTAGAGCTCTGTAACATAGTACCAAAGTGAGGACCAGCAAAATGTCCTCACTTTGGTACTATGTCCTCAGTTTGCAGGTAAACTTGTCATTAGTCCTCACTTTGATGTATAGACACACACACACACACACACACACACACACACACACACACACACACACACACACACACACACACACACACACACACACACAGAATAATAAAGTCTCTAAAATACATAAACACAATATAAACACAATAGTAAATACACTATTGTGGACCGTGACTGTAATAGTGACAGGATATATTACATGACAGTGCTACGCCCCCTGTTGTCCTGGTGGGGGATTGCTTTGCAACGCTCCCCAGGTGATGAAGAAGTCTGAAGGGAAAACCCCTCGGTCAATATGTGTGTGTGACTCTGCGCTCGAGCTGAAGGAGATGTATAAAGGCTTCACGTCGATGCATGCAGTACCTATGACGGAGCAGAGCAGACGCAGACTGGTGGTGTCCCCCTCCCCCGAGTCTCGAGGACTATCCCTCCAGGACGGGGGCAAAGGTATGCGCAGACCGATGGGTCGGTGAAACTTGCGCCGCCGAGGCTCTACGGTAACCACAGGGCTAAAGTTTGCCTGGTTACCAAGCAGCTTAGCAACCAGCTCATCTGGAACAGGCTGAGCCTGAGGTTAAAATAAACAATGAAGGAAATGTCACAGGTTCATGGTGATGGAGAATAGGAGAATCATGCAAAAGACAGAAACATAAGAGTCAGTGATGAATGGACAGGACGTAGAATGAAAATGGAAAATGGGCATAAAAAAGCCAAATCAGGAAAAAATAAAAAAGGAAGAGAAAGAAGAACACTGTGATTAGAGATGAACCTTTAAGAGACAACAGCAACACAAACTAGTTGTATGGTTTTATTTTTATTTTGTTATAACAGTATGCATTGACAAGAAGCTTTTACAATCATTAGTACAAAAGGGGTAATAAAGAACAAGGCACTGGTTTCACAGGGACTGCAAAATAGTAAAAATGTGTTTTTTCTAAGTTTTGTTTTTATTCTATTAAATTTACTATTTTAGTTCAAAACTTACAGCGTTGGGCAGAAAACAATGGTTAACAATTACTATAATAGGATAAAGTTTCGGTAAAGTTAGCTTAATCAAAACATACAGTTAATGTATTTTTTGTCAGACTAAAATAATTAAACACTAAAGTGTCCGTTTGATCCAAACCCAGCAGCTGCTGGAAAAAAGGACAATATTTTTTAATAGAAAATATTTTCTTTCAAACTAGACAGAAAACTATGTTATGAAAAAGAAAAAAATATGCATACAAATGAAAATATTTCATGTATCAGGACATAAAAGGAATAATTATTTAGTCGTGAGGTACATGTAAGTTTAGATACGCTACATGACTTGTGATGCTGTCCAGTCATTTATTTCACATAATCTGAGTGAAAATGTGGTTTTATTTCAGATTTTTCTTTACTGTGTGCAGAAACATCATTCCCATAAGAACCGAGAGGGTCAATCAGGGCTGTGAGTGAGCACTTCTCAAAACGTGGACAGGTTGGATGTTTGTTTTCTTATAAAAATGGTAGCTGTTGCTGATTAGCTATCTACCAAGAGGTCCAATTTTGGAAAAAATGTAGAAATCTTATTACAGCTATTGGGAAATTACAAAAGCGATAAATAATTTAAAATGTGAATAATAAAAGAGAGTCATTTCTCTGCAACAAAGTGAAGTTGAAGATTTCCAACATGTCCCTAAAGGATATTAATTTAATGTTAGTTATTTTTTTGAAAGGCAAAACATTTGGCGTGAGACCAGATGGGTAAAATCACAACAAGATGTTTGAGTAGAAAATGTGTTTTACTTTTTAGTGATTTTAATTAGCATTAAAAATAATTATATGTCTTGTCTTTGGTGTTTGTCTGAGAAAACTTGACAAAAAAAATGAGTCTAAGCTTACGGGACCAAAACAAGAGTTCAAGTGTTTCTAAATCTGGTCCTCGGTTGTTACGTTATGAAACATTAAAAAAGACATTTTCACGCATTTAAAAAAATTTAATTAAATAAAAAAAAATACATGCAAACTCAGTTTTTTTATGCAACAAAATGCTCATTTCTTAGGCAAGTCCAGTGGATGTGTTAAATATAGAATGCACAGGGTTTGTCAGTGACATAAATAATAAGAAAGGCACCAAGGACAAAACAAACAATATCAGCACTAAAACAGCATTCCATGGTTACATAAAGGTGGCAGGTGCATGCAGTAAGAACAAATAAAAGGTAGAAAGGTCCTCCAAAAGTAAAACAAGCTAAAACAACATACACTTGGCACATGTGGTGATGCGATCAGGTCATTCCAGTCACTCAAAAGAAATTCAGCATGCTTTTCTTTCAGGCAGCACAGGCACTAATGATTCTGTCGTTCTTCTCCTTCCTCCTCCTCATCGTCCCATCTCACCTGCAGACCCAGGCGGACTCTTTTGGTTACGGCCGTCTCAGGAAACGTAGCCTGGACCATCGGTACCAGTTTACTCGTCAGCGAGCCTCCCTCTGGACCAATCAGATCGCTTTCTTGTTGAACTCTTGACACAACAGCAAAGTACAGAGGGAAGTCGGTAGAGATGATGCGGCGGATTCGCTTCTTTCCGAGTTCTTCTTGACTTTCTAGTTCTGGAGAAGGAAGAAAGGGTTTTTCATCCCGTGAGGCAGCACAGCTACATGTGTGTCTGACTGAAATGAAATAAAAAAGATGGATTTAAACTCTTACCCTCGTCCATCCCATTTAGGATTGTTTCTAGGACCTCGTCGCCGTAGCGGTTGCGGTGCTCTTTCCAAACTGATCCATTCTCACTCCTCAGCACAACGAGCTCCCGGTCACCACGACCCAGAGGCGCAAAGTGGGGAATCTCCACAATCACTGGTCTGCCAAACACACAAAGAAGTACTTTAAATCCAATTCTAAGTTCTCTGAGAGATAAATAGCACTGTAATAATCAGAAACAAAGTATTATAACTGATTTGAATGCAAAAATCTATATTTTATTGTTAAGAACTATGCAGTAGATTTGTTTTTTTTGCTCACCCCAGGAACTGCATGCTAGCTGGACCCAGAGAGATGATCCTACTGGCCAGCCCCTCTCCCTCCACCAGTGGAGGGGGGCTGGTCAGCTTCTGCGGCTTCACCAGGCGGCAGGTAATGCGGGTGGGTGCCGCACACGTCCGTGGAGGTATGATGACACGCAGTCCGTTGTGCCTGCTGCCTCGCATTGAACCGCCACGAGCATCCACCATAAAACTGACCAGAAACCTGCCGTAGGACAAAAAGCATGAGTTCTAGAATCCAGGTAAGAGATGGATGGACATGCAGTGTTACGATCTGGGCTGACCCTGTGTGTATAGGACTGGCAACTGGGCTGACGTTATCAGACGTTTCAGTAGCTGGGCTGCTGGGAATCAGTGAGTCTTCATCATACTCTTTGGGCAGTGGAAGTGGAGTGTGTTGCTACATCAAACAGAAAGGTCAGAGTGAAAATGTTTAAAGTCATGCTTTATAAACTAAAACCAGAAAAACAGAAAAAAAGATAATTATTTGTTGAAAGAATAATTTTAAGTATAAACCGTATGCTTGAATAAAATTCATTTATGATCTAGACTTGAAAGTCATTGATGCTGAAAGAAAACATTTGACTCACAAGTTGCAGTTTATCTCAGTTTTAGATATTGAATTTAAACAGCTTGGTTGATAACTCTTAACTTGGACTAAAACTTAAAAGCATGATGCATATTTGCACTGAGAATGAATAACAAAGATTCATCATTACGAAGTTTAAAAAAAAACAACTGGAGCCTATAATGTCCATCCATTTTCATCCGCTTATCCGGAGCCGGGTTGCGGGGGCAGTAGCGTCGAGAGGGCCAGACTTCCCTCTCCCCAGCTACTTGGGCCAGCTCCTCCAGGGGAATCCCAAGGTGTTCCCTGGCCAGGTGGGAGACATAGTCCCTCCACCGTGTCCTGGGTCTACCTTTAGGTCTCCTCCTGGTTGGACGTGCCCGGAAAAACTCACCAGGGAGGCTTCCAGAAGGCATCCTGACCAGATGCCCAACTGGCTTCTCTCGATGTGGAGGAGCAGCGGGTCTACTCCGAGCCTCTCCCGGATGACCAAGCTTCTCACCCTATCTCTAAGGGACAGCCCAGCCACTCTTTGGAGAAAACTCATTTCGGCCGCTTGCATCCGCAATCTCGTTCTTTCGGTCACTACCCAAAGCTCATGACCATAGGTGAGGGTAGGAACGTAGATCGACCGGTAAATCGAGAGCTTTGCCTTCTGACTCAGCTCTCTCTTCACCACAACAGACCAGTACAACGCCTGCATCACTGCAGATGCAGCACCAATCTGCCTATCGATTTCACACTCCAGTTTTCCCTCACTCATGAACAAGACCCTGAGATACTTAAACTCCTCCACTTGGGGCAGGACCTCATCCCTGGCCCGGAGGAGGCATTCTACCCTTTTCCGAATCAAAACCATGGTCTCAGATTTAGAGGAGCTGATTCTCATCCCAGCTGCTTCACACTCGGCTGTGAACCGCTCCAGCGAAAGCTGAAGATCACGTTCTGATGAAGCAACAGGACCACATCATCTGCAAAAAGCAGAGACCTGATCCTCAGGCCACCTAAACTGATGCCCTCCACACCTTGGCTGCACCTAGAACTCCTGTCTATAAAGGTAATGAACAGAATCGGTGACAAAGGGCAGCCTTGGCGGAGTCTAACTCTCACTGGGAACAAGCCCGACTTACTGCCGGCAATACGGACCAAGCTCTAACACCGGTCAAACAGGACCCTAACAGCCCGTATCAGAGGGCCTGGTTCCCCATACTCCCAGAGTACCCCCCACAGGGCCCCCCGAGGGAAGCGGTCAAACGCCTTCTCCAAATCCACAAAACACATGTAGACTGGTTGGGCAAATTCCCACGCACCCTCCAAGATCCTCATGAGGGTATAGAGCTGGTCCAGTGTTCCAGGCCAGGACCAAAAAGACATTGCTCCTCCTGAATCTGAGGTTCAACAATCCGTCGGATTGCCTATAATGTGTTTTTACTTTCCTTAGTACAGGTTTTGTGTTCATTTGGTTTGCTGGGATGGAAGAATTGTAGAGCCTTGTCTACAAAGTAAAGCATTTCTGAAGGATTTAAGTTACTTCATATTATGACTTGTTTTCTTAGACACTGGCTGAATAAAAACCTTTCCTTCCAAATGCTTTTTTAAGCATTTTTCTTTTGTTTGCTCTAGCATGTCATTTCTCTTTCTGCTGTGTGCAGCGGAGAAAACAAACCACATTAAATTTCTGTTAAAGGCAAACTATGCAACTTTTTCATAGTTTTAAATCATTTTCTTGAGCAAAAATGACCCTTTACAGGGTTAATGAAATGTCACTCAGACCCCACCACCCTCTGTGGCCAAAATATCGCTCTTGCAACTTCAAAGTGGTGTTCTGGTCCCTGTTGGACTTGTAAAGTGGAGCTGACATGCCAGCACTGGAGTCTGCTTCCAGCACGTTTCCTGCATGTTTTAAATCATGAACACAGCTAATTTGTTTCATGTAGAGATGAACCATTCCTGCAGAAACTCATGAAGGCTGAGGAGACATTTCAGCAGTTAGATTAAAAGTGTTAAAAAGATGAACACACAGCAATAAGTCAAGTTTCATTTTTGGTTTTGCTAAGCAGACACTAGCAAAACCAAAACCTCCTAGTCTCCCTTTAAAACAGTCTGTGTGGTTTCTGATTTGGTCATTGATCATCCACCAAGGAAATAATCACTCTTCCATTGACGCACAAAGCCTAATGAGTCCTTGATGATTTGATCTCATTATTGATGTAAAATTTAAACCTCATAATATTTTCAGCCTTGAACACCGGTGATATTCTGCTCTGTCCATACCTGATCGATCTCATGTTCTTTCAGATTGACAGTCTCAGGTGAGACACGAGGAATCCTGGGAATGGCTGGCGAATAATTTCTAAGAAAAGAGAAAAACAAATCAGCCTGAAGAAATTTCTTCACATCTTGGCTCCTCCCAAGTGATCGTCCCTGTGTCTACGGTTCGCTCCCCTCCCACCCACCTACCCACCTATTAGCTTAAAGCTACTAGCTTAGCTCTCTACACTGCTGCCCCACACATCCCCTTCCCCCTTACGCTGTGCCCAGCCCTCTCTCGTACTCCAGTGATTTCTTGGGGGAGAGGAAATCGTCATCATGGTCTTTCATGTCATCCATCTTCATGTACCTGGCCCCTCCTGTCCCCAAGAGCTCCTCTCCTTCAGAGAACAACATGCCAAAGAGAGCGAATAGACCAGGGTCAGGTTGGTGACACAGCACGAGAGAAAAAGAGAAAGAAAACAAGACTGTTAACTAGCAGTTAGACGTGTTAGGCAACATGAACACCCAGGATGGACGAATGATGATGGCTCTGATTTTTAGAGATTAGACAGGTGACATGAAACGTCAGTGGTGAAAAGGGGATGCAGCTACTTCCACAAAGAGGGTATGAGGACGTGAACAAAAACCTAATCCCTACAATCTGTTTTGCTTTTAAACTTTCACTCAGAAATTCTGAACAAATTACAATAAAGTCACAGAGAATAGCTCATAAATGTAGTCTGAAGATAATAAAACATGATAGTCCACTTAGAGGCAGCAACACCATACTTTAACTCAAGTTTTATACTTCAGGTGCTTAAGCGAGTGAATGGATGAACAAATTAATCCAGTCACAATCAGAACAGCAGTTTACTACAATCCATGAAGCCAGTTTTAGCAGACCCACACTTTCCTCTTAATGGCTCGTACATTTAGATCTGAGCCCACATGGTTGTTGGTTACTTACCCCCGTAAAAAGGAGACCACAAGCTGCAAACGATAAGTCTTCCTGGAGTGTATGAACGCGCGCGCGTGTGTGTGTGTGTCCGTGTCCGTGTTCCATTCAGATCACATCCTCTGTCCGTCCAAAGGTTATTACATGCAGGACACTATATTATCCTCTGACATCGCTTTACCATTCCTGATTTGTGTCTTTAAGACAGCAGATGAGCTACTTTCTAAATTTAGAGCTGCACTCACAATCTGTTTGTTGAATTATCAGTGGACTAAAAATACCAAGTCATGTAAACCTCGGACATTATTAACCACGTTGTCAACTTTGCCCTCCAAAACCTTAATTAGGTTTTTAGGTTGTTGTTTTTTTTTTCCTGCTTGAGGAAAACAGAAACCTAATTTGAATTCATGTAAACTGATGTCAGACAGCTCAGCCAGAAAAACAAAAAGCTCTTAGTTCATCTGTGTTTTCTGCCTTTTAGACGATTTGTAGTGAATCCTAACATTTGAGCTAACATGATGCAACAACACATCACGAGTTTTCACTCAGATTAGAAGATGTGGATTATCCAAACATTAAACTAAAAAGATGCTTTTACCAACCAGTTTACATGAAAATAGACTTATACTGTTGTACAGTCAGACCTGAAAAGCAGAGGTGTGACCAAGTCACTGCTTTGCAAGTCACAAGTAAGTCACAAGTCTTTCCAGTCAAGTCTCCAGTCAAGTCCAAGTCAAAGACAACCAAGTCTAAGTTGAGTCCAAAGTAAATGAATTGGAAGTCCAAGTTAAGTCCAAGTCCTTAACCCTTTCAAATTTCAAGTCATAATCAAGTCACCTGTCCAACTTCAATTTAGTGACAACGATAATAAATGTAAAGGATGGGTAGTTTACACCCTACTTATGAACCATAACATGTGAGATTCCATAGAAATATGAAATATCAATCTGTTGGATCTTTGAATATTTTAACCAGAAGATCAGAACTTTTTATTGCAGGGATTTTGTGACCCTTCGTATCAACTCCGAGGAAAGTGAGAGAGTCAGGTTTAAAATAGTTAAGAATTTTTTTTCTACACAGTTTAAACAAGACTAACTTAAACACTCGGTGTACTGTTGGAACTGAAGTGGAGTGAGACGTGAGATGAACGATGTATGTGTGGAATGTTGTTATCAGAACCAGCGGATCCGGAGAAGCATTTAGTTCTGAGTGGGAGTGAATGTTTCACTCTAAACTTTAGTAGGAGATTTATAACACACATGAAACGCCATCTGTTGGTCTACGTACCCCAGGGGAAGCCTCCGTTAGATCCAGAATGTCCAGGTCCTCTTGGACCCTCCTTGGAACGGAAGCCGGTAGAAAAGCAGCGGTGCCGACCAAACTAGTCTTGGAATGCTTCCAGATCATGACAGGTTATTGGCGTCAGCTAGACCATGAAAGGGTTGTGAGGTTCAGCTTTTATTCTGAAGGAACCGTTGAGGTAAGGTGTAACTTGCAACAGATTTTATCCAGCTTGTCGAGGTTCTTTTGGCTGAAGAGGAAGTCCGGATGGTCTGTCCGAAACTTCTCTAGAACGCTTGAACTAAAGAAAAGGTGGCGTGGAATAGTTTTTATAATTGACATATTTTGGTTTACTGGCAAACCAGAATTTGACATGCAAAAGAGGGTTTATACAAACACCACAGATAACCGCGCCTCGCGCCAGAAACGAAGGTTCTGGTTGGATCAGACAAAAGGAAATGTGTCGTGTGACTTTAGCATTACGTGTCATCAGTGTCTAGTGCAAATGTCCAAGATTATAATAACTTGTAAAATACTACTGATCACAGGATTATAATATCAAGTAATAACATTGTCATTTCATAGATTGATTGAACATTGGGCTCACATTATTATTGGTAATAACAAAGTTGCTTGATTATGTGTTTATCAAGAGAGTTCTTCGTCTTCGTCTTGAGCTGCAAAAGGTGAAGCAGTTCAGATGAGCAGAGGGCATGAAAGACCTTGGCCAATATCTCAAGTCATTGGTGTTCAAGTCCGAGTCAAGTCTTAAGTCTTTATAGATTTGATCAAGTCACGCCAGAAGTCATTAAAATGATAACTCGAGTCTGACTCAAGTCCAAGTCATGGGACACAAGTCCACACCTCTGCTGAAAAGTCCTTCACCTAAGCATAACCATTTTAGGCGTAGAATCACTAAAAATAACTAAACATGTTATAAAAATCTATTTTAGAACATCCAACTATGGAAGAAGTATTTGACATATTTTATTTTTCAATCAAAGAAGAAGAAGATTTTGCATCACAGGGTGTTTCAATGTAACAATAAATTGTTTGAAATTATTTAGAAAGATAATAAATATAGAGCGGCTGCGCAGTGGTGCAGTGGTTAGAGCTGTTGCCTTGCAGCAAGAAGGTCCTGGGTTTGCTTCCCGGTCTGGGACCTTTCTGCATGGAGTTTGTGTGTTCTCCCTGTTTTACTTCAGATCAGAAATTGATTAATATCAAAAACATGAGCTGTGAAAACTTTGAAAACCCAAAACCATTAGGTCAAAGTTGATATAATCTCATATTATTGAAACGTGTTTTCCAACTAGTTTTCTGTCACCAGTGGAGCAACTGTGATGACTTAAGCCACCAAAACTGTCGGTTTTTAAATGTTTCCCTCTCAAATCTCCACGTCCACACATGACAAAAACACAACACAACATAAAAGCAATCAACACCACAATGAATGCAGATTCTCAAGTGGACAAAACTGCAAATACTGCACAGCAGGTGTCACCAACTCCAGTCCTCAAGGGCTACCATCCTGCTAGTTTTCTGCATTTCCTGCTCAACCACAACTGAATGAAATCATTTAATCCTCTCCTTACCATGAGTAACTCCACATAGGCCTAATAATTAGTCAGTCATTTCAATCAGGTGTGTAGGAGCAAACAAACAGCAAATATGTGCAGGATAGTAGCTCTCTAGGGCCAGGGTTTGTGACCCCAGCAACTCTCAAAAGACTAAATCACAGTGAAGGTAGACAGCTGCTCAGCTGTGGTTCACACTAGTCAAGCAATGATTCATGTGATACGATGGAAGGATAAAACACCATGAGAGTTAGAGAAAGTGGGTGTTGTTAAAGGGACACACTAAAGGTTATGAGTGCATGCTAACAAGAAACCAGAGGTACGATCACAGTGATCATCACTACAGAGGGATCAAAGGAGAAGAAGAAGGCCAGGAAACACAGATGACGTGAGCTTGAAATGAAGCAACTTTACGACAGCCTAAGAATGCTCCAGAAAGAACAAAACAAACATTCATACCTAATGTTAGCTGAGCAATTCCTATAAAAAAGGCAAAACAAGAGTTGAAAAATGAGAATTTCTATGTTTCACACACTACCTGCCTTATAAGTATTTATCTTAAAGCCATACCTTCATCCTCCGACACATCGAGTATCTCATCCACAGTTTCTGGGAAACTCATACGATGTTTCTCTGTGGTCATCTGCAAGGCACATAAAAGATACACACATTAAAAAAATATATCTTTTCTTACAGCATTTTAGTCTACTAAACCTCTCACCATGGAAACCGTCTCATCTGTGACGAGCTTCAGTACGTCAATCACAGAGATGTAGCCCAACCTCTTAGCAATAGCCAAAGCTGTGGTGCCATGCTGTCAGAGGAGCAACAATCTGATCAGATCTGAGAAGATAAGACTTAATGTTTTGGTACAAGGAAGAAAATGAGGATTAATGCTTACAGTAGTGGTTTCGTTGGGCTGGGCGCCATGTTTCAGCAGCAGGGTCACAATGTCTGTGTGTCCCTGCTGGGCTGCCTGGTGCAGAGGAGTGTAACCGAGCTGCCAAGGAAAAAAATTCCAGAGTAAAACTCACAGGAACATGTGGATAATATGCAAACAAATCCCCGTTAATCATCAGTTGTTGAATTTATCTACCGTTGGTGAAAGCACACACCCTTGTTTTGCTGTTGACGTTAGCCTGATGCTGCACAAGGAACTTCACCATTTTGATGTTGCCGTAATGACACGTGACATGGAGAGGAGTGTAACCCATCTGTCAAAGAAGGAATGCACAGAACTCCTAAAGGAGTGTTTCACTCATTTAATCTATGCATTTGCAGTTGTCTCTAGTAGGATATAGGGATATACTGGTGCACCATTTCCAGGAACTAGAAGTTACCCACATCACAGATGAGCTTCAGATGGCAGGTTTTGGAGTCTTATTTCCTGATATTTGGACACCTCGCCTCAGATTGGATAACAGCAGCATGACCCTACCACTGACATGGATGTTTTATCTCCACAAATAACACAAGCCTGGAGGAGTTCTGCCATGTGGTGTAGTTGCAAAAGCTAACAGTTAGCTTCTAACAGTCGAGACGTTCTCTGCGGTTCCTGGATGCTAAATGAACAACATCCTCACCCGTCGTGAGTCAAGATGGGTGAGTCCATGTTTGTTAAGTGACAGTGTGACGTAGATCTATCAGGCTTTTCAAATCCTAGAATTTCACCATCTATTTTCTATCAGAAGCTAATGCAGGAAAGGTGTAGGGGAGTGTTTTCATGTTCACCTTGCATGAAAAGTGTAGGGGAGTGTTTTCATGTTCACCCTGCATGAAAAACTCTGAGTGACTGATTACAATCAGAAATAATCATTAAAAGATAGATTTTCAGTGTCGCACACTTTGAAACTCAGTCCAGATTAGTTACTGAGCTTATTAAGCATTTGAATTTATTGTAGGATGAAGTTCAGTCCTTACCCGTGTGGCTGCATAGACTGAAGCCCCCTGCTTCACTAAAATATCAGCAATGCCTACATGTCCCTCCTGGGCCACCAAGTGCAAAGGCGTTAATCCACTCTGGTTGAGGGAGCGAAAAGACAAAGTCAGGAACACCTAACACAAAACAAATCCAGTTCCATTTTAAAACCTTCAACATTTCCTTCATCCTCCACCTTGTTGCCGAGGTTGACGTTGGCCTGTTTGGAGATGAGCAGGGAGACCATGTCGGGCCTTCCCTCCTGCGAGGCCAGGTGGAGCGGGGTGATTCCCTGCAGTGACTCAGCATTGGCTGAAGCTCCATACTGCAGCAAGCTGTTAGCCACCTCCACCTGGTTCTGTTTGGAGGCGATGTGGAGGGCGGTATAACCATTCTACAGAACAGAGGCAAAATGTTTTCTAATAAATGTAAATGTTCATTATATTTGATGATTTGGCACAAAATACTTGTTTCTGTTTACCCTTGCAGCGCTATGCGGTGACCCTCCTTTGCTAACAAGTAGGTTGACTACATCCAAGTTGTTGTGATGTACAGCAACATGCAACGGGGTCAGACCGTTCTGTAAAAAAAGAACACTCTGGGCATCTTTTACGTTATTATATTCCAAATGTTTCAGATTCCTCTTTCTCCTCACCTTTCCAGCTGAATTTGGGTTGGCTCCTCTCTCGAGCAACAGCTCAGCCACATCCACCTTACCGTACTTAGAGGCTACATGTAATGGAGTGAAGCCCTTCTGCAGAAACACAGAGAAATCAGTGGATTTAATGTAAATTAGTAACTGTTCTGGAGAATAGTTCCAAAAAGCCAAACAGTACAAAAAAAGGTCATCAGATCAGCTTTACCTTGGTCATCTTGGTCTGTTGGGCCTCCATGTCCAGTAGGATGCGAACTGTCTGTACATGACCTTCCCGGGCAGCGATGTGCAGTGGTGTGTGTCCAGCTGTGGTGGTGGAGTTGGGGTTGGCCTTGTGCTCCAGTAGAAGCTTTACTAGCTCCTTGTGACCCATCCGAGCAGCACAGTGCAGAGGGGTTTGGTCATCCTGCCCAGGAGGAAGTGACACCAACACCAGGAAAATTTAGAGTGAATTATGAGGAAATGTATATGCTTTTTTTGTGTGTGTGAATAAAAATGCATCTACCTTAGCTTTGGCATCCACTGGTGCTGCATTCTCTAATAGGAACTCTGCAACCTCATAGTGTCCAGCCCGAGACGCCATGTGGAGAGGAGTTTCGACTTTCTGTTCACAGAAATAAAGCACGCAGCCACTCAACATGCAGCAATGTTTTAAAGGGTCACTGAAATGCAATTGATTTACAATTGGAAAATGTTCTTTGAGCCTCCTTGTAGCATATTAAACTTTGTTGGGGCTCACAATGGCCCAAGAGCCCTGATACAGGGCCAAACACAACCCCATAAAAAAGGCCTGCAATGAAAACACTTGTGCGCCCCCCCCCCCCCCTGTCAGAACATGAGTAGAAAATGAGCTGCGTGTGCATGCTGTGGTGCAGGAGTGTGGACGAGCGTGATACAACGTGACAAGAATGAGGACAACAAGCTATAGATTTATTTGGCGCTCATCCTTAGTCTGGATATTCCCATGACATCCTGGAACGTGCAGGGTGGTGCTCCAACATGCTCATATATATCAAAGGTTTTAGCAGCTCAGACTAGCGTTAGCAGTAGTTTTGCCTAGTGTTATCAGAAGTTTGGCTTAGTGTTGCTCTGCGGTTAGCTGGGAACTGGGTTGGAACATGTAGATTTACGGGGGGGGTGTCTAAGCTTATGATGCGCTGAACCAGCTTTTCTCAGAACAAACCACTTCTCCCTCACCTTTACAACATTACTACCGTAATTTATTGAAGAAAGTAGGTCGGAGACGGCATAGGCATGAGAGGGGGGCTTCTTTCATGCAGCCTCATAACTCTGGAACTCTCTTCCCCTTCTTGTGTGTTTGGTTCTTTCCCTCAGAAGGTTAAGGTCTGCTCTTAAGACACACTTTCAGCATCACCTTCATGATCCACTATTCTAAATATAAAAAATGTTAGGCCATGTCTCACTTCCCTGCATGTTTCCCATTCCTGAGTTTTTCTGTGATATGTCTGTTGTTGTGTCCAAGCCTTTGGCTCTTTTTTGTACAGCACTTTGGTTAGCTGCCATGCTATTCTGAAATTGTGCTAGATAAATAAATTTGGATGGTAGAGTATGGTATAGGCTTTTGGTATGTTACATTAGACAACCCAAGCTAACTAAATTCAACAACAGGATTAATGTGGTTTTTAATGCTACTGCCCCTTAAAAGACGTGTTGGTTATTTAAGCTGGCACTGGGACTTACCACATTGGAGGCGCTGGGGGAAGCTCCTTTCTGCAGGAGGATCTTCACAATGTTGAGATGACCCATAAAAGATGCCACATGCAGGGGCGTTAGACCAGACTGATAAGAGATAAAAGCAGAATAAATGGCTTGGAATTGCCTTTCTAACCTAGAAATCTTTTAAAACACCTCTGGATACATCATTTTAACACTTTTGAGCATTTTATTGTCTCTCTTACTTCAGTCACAGCCTCTAAGGATGCAGACTGTTTGAGGAGGAGGTCCATCACACGCATGTGGTTCTTTTTACAGGCAATGTGCAAGGGAGTGAAGCCGTTCTGTGAACATAAAACCATAACATTTACTGCTATGGTAAAACAGCTACATGATCACATATTATCAGACCAAATAAGCATTACATATATTCATCAGAGCACCAGCTTTAAAAAAAAAGAGGGTACATCGACAAACAAAAGAAGTGAGATGAAACTATCTCTAACCAGAGCTCTGGAGTTGGGTTTGGCCCCCTTGTCCAGCAGTACTTTGGCCATGCGGTGATGCCCGCAGTGTGCTGCCACATGCAAGGGGGTGAGGTGGTCCAGTGTGATGTCATCAATCTCTGCATTGTACTGCAGAAGCTGCTTGACGCAGTCCACATGGTCCCCCTGTGCTGCCATGTGGATCGGAGACAGGCCATTCTGCAAAACAAGACACATTTTTATTCACATCTCGAGAAACAAATCGCCAACTTAGATTTAGCTGTTGTTCAGAGTTTACCTTGGTCTTTGCCTGGATGGGCGCCCCATGGTCCAACAGAATTTCTATAATTCTAACATGTCCATTTCTGGCTGCGCAGTGTAGAGGTGTCAACTCATCCTAGAAGGAGAGGATTGGTAATGACTTAGCTAACGATGCATTGAATTAGAAAGAGAGACATTCAGAAATGTTCAGTGCAATCTGCACCTTGGTTTTGGCATCAATCTGAGCCCCTCGGTCCAGAAGGAGTCGGACCATGATCACATTCCCACGTCTGGAAGCAATGTGCAGAGGAGTGATGCCGTTCTGCAGACAGACAGATCGACTCATGTAAGTACAACAAATCAAAACAAAGATAAGCAGCTAATGTTTTCCCATCTTAAGTGACTTCCTACCTTTGGGGTGAAATTGACATTTGCTCCTCGATTAAGCAGAAGTTGCGCAACGTTTAGGTTCTCATAGTGGGCAGCAATGTGAAGGGGGGTGAATCCAGTCTGCAGAATACACATCTTTGTTTCCACTTTTGCATTTTAAAAAGAAAAAGACAAGTTCTGAAAACAAAGTTTGCTGTGCTTTCACATAAACCTCCACCCACCTTGCTGAGAACGTCAGGATTGGGGTCGTTCTGTAAAAGCACTGCTGCTGTGCGCGTATCATCGTTTCGTGCTGCAATGTGTAGTGCGGGGAGACGGACCTTTCCCTTGGTGCCGTAGTTAATGAGCAGGGCCACAACGTTCTCATGTCCCTGCTGAAGAGCCACGGCGAGCGGGGTAAACCCATCCTGCAGCAGACAACACAGGAGAGAGGCTGACTCAGAAAACGAAAACTGTGTAAAGAGAGGGACTTGTGAAAATAAAGCAGAGTGGAAACAAAGCGAGTGTGAATCAACAGGGATGGGGGTTTCTCTCTCTGATCGTTGGTACCTCAGTGGGAATGCTCTGATTGGCGCCGTTCTCCAGAAGAAACTTCACAACCTCTAGATGGTTTTCTTGTGCAGCCATGTAGAGTGGAGTAAAACCCTTCTGTCTCAGAAAGACAAACAACAAACAGGCGCGCACACACACACAGGAGCAGAGACAACAGCAGAAAGACAGTCACAGATGTACACAGCAGGATGTACACAAACACACAGGAATATTGGACAAACTGACACATTTTAACGGATGGATCTGCAGTAATCGCTAGGACAGATTGACAGTAAAGCGCTGGGGATCAGCCTCGGTATGTTCCGGGACGGGAGCAGCGCTGCGTCTCACCTGGGACTGAGCGTTGACATTGGCCCCATAGTTTACTAGCTCTGTGACCACCTGCTCCTGCCCTGCCAGGGCTGCAATGTGCAGGGCGGTGTTCCCTTTCTGTTCAAACACACACAAGTGCACAACCAGGATAATCACACAAGGAAAACTACTGGATGTAAAATTCCACAGGTTTATTCAAAACATTAGTGTTCAACTAAAAACTGTTTCATCACAAATGAAGAAAACACCAAATCAAGAGTCTAACATTTTCAAGAGTCCTCAAGCTTAACTGAAACAGATAATCTGTTTTTAATCACAAGACTGCCATCTTTTTTCATCTCTCTTTGTTACAGTCACATTTCCATGTTCTTAACTGATTCTTAACATAAAGCTTAATCTTGTTGCATTTAGAGTCAAATGCAGACAACACCCATTCATAATTATATGTCGGTCTGGTCCTTTTCAGTTCATCCAGGTCTTCATTTCCTCTCTGGTAGAGCCATTTTAGTCTCAGGCATTATTCAGTCCTCTGCCTTTAAACTCTAGTCTAGAGATTGTACTGTATCTCTTTCAGTTAATTCAGGGCAAAGATCCACATACAACCAACAGCAAAAGGTCTGGCACTCTTGTTTCTGAAAGTAGAAGTAAGTCAGGGGAGATGGGAGCAGAAGACAGCAGGATTTGGAGTCTTATTTCCTGACATTCAGACATCTTGCTTCTGATTTGGCTGACAGCAGCATGACTACTCCACTGACTCCAGTTTGCTCTACAATGTTGATGTTTTATCTCCACAAATAACACCAACCTGGAGTATCTCCGCTGAGTCGTGGATTTGCTGATGCTAACGGTTAGCTTCTTCTGGCCGAGATGTTCTCAGCTCTCCAACAAAAGCCTTTGCCGTTGTGAGCCAAGATGGGTGAGTCCATGCATGCTAATTTACTGTGTGACAGATCTGAGTGACTTTGTCCAATCCAAGGGGGTTTCCATCCATTTCATATCACCAGCTAATGCGGGAGACAGGGCTAGAAGACTATTTTCACGTTCAGCCTGCATGTTAAACTCAGACTGACTGACCTTTAAGTTTGGTTCCTTGAGAAGATCTCCAGAAATCAATTACAACTGGAAAATTATTCCCATTAGAATATTCTTATTTTGATCCTGAGGATATAATACCAGCCATGAAGTAGCACCGTGATTATTAAGCGTGATGTTTCATGGGGTGTGTTTTACCTTCGTGGTGGTCTCCAGCGTGATCCCATTGTGAAGTAGCTCCAGCACCATTTTGACGTGGCCCTCTTTGGAGGCCAGATGCAGCCCGTTGAGCCCATTCTGAGTCAGAGAAAAGAGCACACCTCATACCCAAGAATCCCACTCGCACACACTGTATATAAATAGGCATGAAATAAACCCACATATGGTGTGTACACAAAATCACACAAGGACAATGCCAGCTGATTTACACACACACACAGTAACAGCAGTACTCACATCACAAAGCAAAATATAAATCATGCAGATTTAAAATGGTTATTAAGCAAAAACAACATCTACAGGAATGAAAATCAAGACTTTTTTCATTCATTTAATGTTGATTAGAGGAGGAGGAAGGGGATGGCAGGCCGCTGGTCTCGTGGCTGGGAAGAATACGAGCCGTGTGGGATAGGTCTAACCTCACACAGCCTTCCTTCAGCCGCACAGGACATGTGAGGTTGGACCTTTCCCACACCACTGATATTATTCCTCTGAGTGGGGAGACCACAACACACCATCACTCCACTGGAGAGAGAGAGAGAGAGAGAGAGAGAGAGAGAGAGAGAGAGAGAGAGAGAGAGAGAGAGAGAGAGAGAGAGTGGAGGATAACGGAGGAGGAAAAGGTGAGATTAAAGGAGAGGTTTGTGGAGAAGATGCTAGACTGAGGGCTGGAGTGTGTCGGTGTGCCGGTGACAGGAAGACAGAGATGGAGCTGCTTCCACCCGACCAAACCCCGCCTTCATGACACAACAACAACCAGATGAAGAGACACTCTGCAGTCAGCAGGGATGCTACAACTCGGATCTGGTGTTTTACTGACTATTACAATAAATGTAAGCAATAACATAAACTGAACCAAAATCTGATTAAGTAAGAAATGTGTTTTAGCAACTTTAACAAAAAACACAAACAAATGTGCAAATTGTCTTTGAAGATTAAAAAAGCTGCAGATTGTCACTTTAAGTCAAAAATACGTTAAACATTAAAACACATACACGATTAATTCGAATTACAATGTAAAATTTTAAAATTTGATAAAAATCTAGCAAATCAAGTCGTTCTATCTTTTTCTGCAGGCTATAAAATTTTCATTCCAAGAGGAGTCTTCCTTTATGATGGGTTGATTCTGTTTCCGCTGAATCTGTTTGATTTGAGCCCTCATTGAAATCCTGATAGAAATATTTCTATTGTAAATAACACAACGTTGACAGCATGAGTGAAGGAGGGATGAGTTGGGTAATGAGCCTCTCTCATGCACACACACTGGGTTTCAGCCCAAAAAGATGCCCTCTTTCTGGAGATAGAAGTTTTCTTTATTATCATTTATTATAATTCCCCCCCCCCCCCCCCCCCAAAAAAAAAAAGAAACTGATTAACCATTTAAATTAACATGCACACGGCAAGCAAACCGGGACACATCAACACATGCATACAGAAAAACAGTTACAGGTAAGAACATGAGCACAACAAGATGCAAATGATCTGATCTTGTCTGATCTGCGATCACCGATCATTTATTTTAAAAGCAGTCAATCGTGTTGTAGTTCATCCACTGTCTGAAACCTAATTTGATTAGCTAAAAACAGACCAAGAGAAGACCAAACTGCTGGCTGAAAAAGTTGATTGTGAGCAGATAAATGCCATCTTTCACTCTCAGTTTTGCTGAGAAGCAAAATGATCTAATTAGAATAAATAGAAAGCCAAGAATAGCCATAGAAATAAAAAAAAGCCTCAGATGGCGGGGTCTGCCTGCCAGTTTTTGCATTTAATCTAAAGGAATGTCTCACCTGATTGGCTGTGTTAATATCGATGCCGTTTTTTATGTGCTCCAAGGCCTTGTCCAGGTTGCCAGATCGGGCTGCTCGGAGAAAACTGTTGCCAGCATCTGCCTGAAAAGGAAACAGAAAGCAGGTGGGGAAGAGGAGGCGAGGGGATCGAGAGAAAGTGAGAGATACATAAAGGAAAAAGAGGAAAAGTGGACAGGGGGTGTTTGGTTAGTATCTTCATGAAGACAAGCGTCATAAGCTTTGAGCGACCATCAGTTTCCCTCTCATTTCACTCCTCCCTTGAGATTTTAGAAGTGAAGTTTAATAATCCGCCCCAGAAAAGCATCAGGGTTGGTGAGTTTGTGTTCATCACCTTGTTGGTTCAATATCTGGACTTTGTGCGTTTACGTGGAAGGGAGTAAGTGTGGTGCTTCGGTGTGTCCCGGCCAGACCATGGCACGTCTAGTGTTTTCGTCTGTGTTTTGTCTGAGTCTGAGAGCTTCACGCCTCTCCCTGGCGAGCAGGAGGGCTGCTGAAACAGGATCACTCATGCGGCACTGGGGGAGAGCGAGGGAGATGGGAAGAGGGGGAGAGTAAAAAAGGAGAGGGGGAAAGCAGGATCGAAGGAAAACCACAGGCAGGAACTCAACTGCAGCTAAATCTGCACCTTTACATTTGCATAATCTCTTCTCTTGCTGTTTTCACTTCGCTCCCTCTCTGTCTCACAGAACTTCTTGACAGGACGGTCAAAACAGAAAAATAAATAAATAAACCTTTCAGTGCATGTTTGCACACCTCCGGTCAAACCTCTCACATTGTGTTGTGGAAGCAAAAGAAACACCAGAAGACAGAGCTTTATGTTTTGTTGACTGTTGTTGTGACAGGGTTGCTGGTCCTCTTTGACAGAGAGGGAGAGGGTTTGAGTAAATAGAGAAAAGATCCGCATGCCTGAAGCAGAAGCATAGCAACACATGACACGACACACCCTCAGCGTGGCACAGAGCTGAGCGCAGCTCGGAAAATTAACAAAAAGAGTTCTGTTGGCAGGAAGAGGGAGACTTTAAGGAGCTTTCAGCCGTTGTGACAAATCTATAATCTATTCTTATTTCAGACAGAAGGCAGCATCCAATGTCAGACTGCAGTTAAGAAGTCACCATACTCACACGCACACAAGTAATAGCAATTAAACCAGTTTTTATAAATAAAAATTCATTTAAAAAAACTTTTGATGTAAACCATGTCCCTTCTTATCATTCAGGCTCTTTCCATCACAACTCCTTCAAAGACTTTGAAGATAATAGCCTACTGCCTTAGAGAGCTGCAAGTCATCCCCCCCCCCACACACACACACCAATGCTCAACTATTCTTGAGAAGACACAACTTATAAACTGATTTTGTATGCATCAGCATTTTCACTTTTGCAGTATGCCATGACACTTTCTCCACCCTACAAAGCCTAAGATGATTAGTTTCCTCTGGATCGTACCAAAGTGCTTCTGGTTCTGGCCTCTCCAAGGCTGATCTCTGCAGCCTGAAACTAAAATCCCTCCAGAAGATTTTTATATTCATGCAAAAAATTTCCACGCATTCACTTTTGCATTTTCACATGTGTGCCTTCTTGCCAGCATGATTACAAGCTTACGTCAAGACGTGTGTGTGTGTTGAGCCGAGATAAGGATGCTGGAGGACCACACCCGTCCGCTGGATGAGACACTAACAGGTAGAGTGCACATGCAGCAGACTCAGATGGAGGAGTCTAAGGATGTTATGAGGTAACTCCTCTGCTACATTTTGCTGGTTTAGATGAATGGACCCCCCCCCCCCCCCCCATTATTCCCACAGAGCATGGACAAGCCTCGGGCTGCTGGGCTGAGCAGAACCAAGTGGGCACATTAATCACACTGTTTGGAGCAAAAGAAGCAGACAATAGCCTGCACAGAAGCTTCTTGGTTAACGTTGGCAGTATCAAAGCAGAGTGTCGAGCAACGTGCATGCCGCTGACTTCACAGGAACAGCTTCTCATAATAAAGCAGAAAATTATCAAGTAAAATGAATTCCGTCTCATCATCTATCACAGAACAGCCTTCCTCTTTTAGATTCCCTGCTTATTATCGTTTCTCTTTCCTGTTGTGTTGTTTTTTTTAACTCTACCCCCTGCTTCTTGCACGTGTTTGTCCCTGCTTTGTCTCCTCAGCTGGTGCAGCAACAGACAGGATGACATCACCACCTGACACCGGACTGCAGCGTTCAAAAGCATGCACATTTGTGTGTGCATGTATATGTGCAAACAAATCAGTGTCCCAGAGGGTCTAAAACAAACAGCTGGAACAGAAGAATCTGGGTTTTTTAAGACGATAATCATTACAAATGTGCGTTTTAGTGAAAATGCTGAATAAGTTTGTCTATTCATGTGTGGGGGTGGGAAACAGGAGGTCAAAATGATGTTATCTGAGTGAAAATGTACAACCTTGTTAGGAAACTCTTTATTCTGCTGTTTAAAATAATAAATTCATAAATTATTGTTCCACACCAGATTTAAAAGCTTACTGATAATATATGTAGGAGTAAAGCCAATACCAGCTTCACAAGCTTCAACAAAAATGAGGAAACGTGGAGAGAAAATTCACTTTTATAAAAACATCTACAACCCATTTTCTTCTTTATAGTCTTTTACTCTTAATGTTACACCAGGAACTCTCATGTAAAGTGTTTTTCCTACAAATTTGACCTCAATCTCTTCTCTCTTTACCGAATGTAAGAAATCCCAAAATATTTTGTCATTTTTATGTGAATCATCATTTAAAAAATCTAATTTTAAACATATTTCCTCCAATAACACACACACACACACACACACACTTGCAGACTGAGCACCAGGCGCAAACAGTGAATGATTAGAGAAAATACAGCAAGAAGATAGAAATTAAGTGTTTTTTTCTTGTTCTGTCCTTGCAGCTCCTTGAAGATGTTGAGTTTCCAGACTGTGACCAGTGTCACATTTACAGGAAGTCAGTGAAAAGGGCATAAGGCTGAAGCTATTACAACCTTCCGCTCAACACCTATTGACCGTTTGTCCGTCTCCACTCCTCGTATGTGTTAAAGTAAACTGTCCCACTTTTATTATTTACTTTCTCACACTCCCAGGGACCCCCCCGCCCCCGTTTGTTCCTGCTCACCGATCGCCTCTTTAGAACTAACCCCGCTGCAGCCTCTGCGCTTGGAGATGAGATTGTCATGGGTATTATTGTCACGGTTCTTGGGATCTTTAGTGAATTACAAAGCGGGTGAAGACAGGGTCTGGGATCTGCAAGAGTAGGATGGAGATACGGTAAACAACATGCACAGATTCACAACTGTAGTTTGTTTTTTGCCGGAGAGAAAACATCATTTGTTGCAGGTTTAGTGCTGAGCTCATATAAAAAAAAAACTTAGGGCTAATGTAATAAAACTAAAACATTCAAACTTTAGCAAATGCAATAACTGAGATGTAATATGAATGATGCTTCATTATGTCCTCTGGGAAAGCAGGTGCAGAAACCAGCAGGCTTGTTGCTAATGGGGGGGGGGGGGGGGGGGGGCTTAAGTCCAAACAGCACATGTCTTTATGATTATTTTATTACTTATTTTTAAACTTCACTGTAAACTCTGTAGGGTTGATGGTTTTTTAGAGAGATGAAATATGTGAATTTTGTAAAATATGTTACGATAAGGTCCAAAATGATGCAAACATAGTTTTCAAGGCTGTAGCTTTAACAATGCTCAACATGGAGCCACAGGGCGCGGTTCCTGTAAAAGTGTGCTTTGATATGCAAAGTAAGGTATAATAAAAGTATGAGTATTTTTATGCAAAATTACATTTTTTATATTTTTAAAGTTATGTACAAAAATGCAAATATTGTGAGTCTAAAAAAAATGAACGAAAAACAAATAATTAAGGTATTGAACTAATTGAATTAAATTCCTTATTTAAATCAACTTTGTGAGGTTTTATCACAAAGAAAATTAGTTATTTGTAAGGTAATCATAAGAATCCCTTCTGTTTATGAAGTTGATGCTGAACTTATTTATGTACTTTTTATATAAGGCGACCCACAGTGTTTAAGCAGGTTGGAGGAAATGAAATCAAAAGAAATAAAAAAGTGCATTTGTTACCTCAACTAAGTGTTTCAAATCTTTCTCAATACAACCAAAAATTAATTTCAAGCTAAAGTATTACATTTTTAATACATTTGTGCAAGAATCCTGCAACTCATTTCATATGTTGCATCACTGAGCTATTTACCCTTTAAAAAACGATTAAAACATAAATACTAATGTATTTTCATGCTGTATTTTGTTTTTTGCTATACTTTCTACACCCCTTGCAAGAAAATAAAAGATTCAAGACTTTTCTACACCTTTCATGACCTTTTGTGAAGCACCTGTGGATGCTTCAAAGACTGAAAAAGCTGCAAACAAAACATTTCCAAACACATCCAGTTTGACCAAACCTGAGCCCTGACAGACACAAACGAGCTCCAGGGCCTCGTGAGCGTCTCCTGAGTAGCTTTCTTCGGGGTGAAGTCTGTAAATTAGGCAGTCTATCGTCTTCCAAACAGAAAGCCTTTCATTCAGTGACCAACTAATCAGTTTACTGACCCCTAATTTACTTACAACAGCTAATCCTGGTTGACATCACACAATCTGATCGTCAAACATTGACAGAAACAAAGCAACAAACAAGATCAACAGACAGCGATAAACACAAGGACACCAATGATGATACACCCAGACGTCTGGGGTTACTGTAAAGGTTTTTAACACATATGACCTGAACCCAAATCATTTCAGTAACAGAGAATTTAAATTTAAATTCATGAATGAAAATGAAAAGATGTCCAGAGCAGCTATTGTGGACGAACGGCAAACACAAATGGTATTTAGCAACCAGAGGGCAAACAAGCAGAAGAGTGTGCAGAATAAAATGAGCTTAAATCAAATAGTTTGCTCCAACAGATTAATATTTATGCATCAGAGAGAAACGTAAATAGCCCAAAAATGTATTTGAATGTCAACCCAAGCCAATCGCTGCTGAAAAAATGTAAAAACACAGTTCAAAGTGAAATTACATCAGAGAAAACGTAAGAATTTTATAAATCAGCCAAAATTAGAGAGCAATTAGGAAAAGTTGCAGAAAGTCCCAGAGAGAAGTAATGGAAGTAGACAGTGAGAGACAGGAAGGGAAGTCCAGAGAGGGACTGGGACAGGAGGAAGGCAAGATGGCAGCAGGGTGGTACTCACTCCAAAAGTGATGGTCTTGACTGGCATGCCTGTCAGCCCTCCACGCTCTCTTTCTTAAGTTTTCTGTTTCTCTCAAACACTCAGATGTCCTTCCTGTTGCCCCCCTGCAAGTGCTCTGGCTCAGGGCTCACAGACCCCCATCCACCGTAAACACAGACCCACACACACACACACACAGTTGAGTAAGCATGGTGGGTGGAGGCACTGTAGAGGGTGGGGGCTTGGTGGACAGGGGCCCGGGGGTTTTATCTCTGGAGGAATGCTGCTTGTATCTAAAGACACACATTTCACACACAGCTACAAGAAAACGGGGACCCCTCTGTCCCCCCGTCATCTCCCGACAGCTTCCCCCGATTCATTTATTTATTTACTTCTTCATTTCTCTCACTTGTTTATTTTTCCACATCTCCCTGGACTTTGTCTGTTCTCATTCCAACATCCAGATGCCTTTCTGCTGTTCGTCCTTTCTAAACTTTTCACATTACCCTCCCAGTTTCATCCCTTCGCTCCTTTCTTCCCAGTGCGTCACGCCCATCTCCGTGTCTCCTGTATGTCTTCTGACAGCCCAGACAATCCCGTTTTTTTTCCGCGGACTATGCAGAATCAGAACGGTGAAGTGTTACTGTGTCGAATGGGTGTGTTTTTACGCAGCGGCTCTGAGGTGACTTACAGTGACAAAAGCGCCTGGTATGGTGGTGTGTGATGGGAGGGGGGGTCTGCCACTGCCCAGTCACAATGGGGCCAGACACATGGGGTAAGAAGGGGGTGGCGGGGCAGGGTGCGGTGGGCTTCTCAAAAGGCCCTGCCTCCTTTAATAAAGTGTCCGTCATTCCTCACTTGAAAAGGCCCCTTTTCTCTCTCTCTCTCTCTCCCCTCCTCTCGCCCTCTCCTGGCTAAATGCTGGGAAAAGCACATCGCTGCCAAAACCACGCAGAGAGATAAATGCTGGAGGGAAAGGGGAAGAAGGGGGCACACCGCTGAGTGGCACTGGACCGTGACCTGGGCGAAAACAACAGTGAAGCAGGAGACTGTGGACAGGAAGAGATGACAAATTATCCTGTGGTCCTAAAGAAAAGAGGGTGAAGCTCTGACACAGAAGTACTCCGAGCAAACCTGAGAAGAAGAACTGCTCTCATCAGCAAAGTAGAATCAAAATGTAAAAGTTCTGACTAGTTTTTCAAGATGTGGATGAAAAAAGAAACACCTTCTGAGATTGACTTCAGGTTAATCTGTGTTAGTCATTTTGGGGACATGGTTGTGGAACAAACGCAACCACAACCTGCTTTAAATCTACAGTGTAGTGAAAAAGGATTTGTCTGTTGGCAGACTTCTTTTGTTTTTGTCACACAAATCTTCTAAATCTGCAAACAAACCTGAGCTGATGCAGTTTTCATTACTTAAGAGAAGAGAGGCAATCCAATCCAACCAGTAAAGAAGTAACTGAACCTGATTATTGATTTTAACACCATTCATGGCAACAATTGAAATCCAGCATTGGTCTGGTAACTGCAAACAAGTCTCACGTCACTGTGAAGGAGGTTCATCCCACTCTTCCTTACAGAAATACTCCAGTTAAGCCACATCGAAGGGTTTCACAGCCTGTTTGAAAAATCTAATTACATCAGTTACAGTGAGTGGTCCAGGTCCTGAACACGCAAAGCAGCGCCAGACCATCACACTTCCACCACCATGCTTGACACTTAATGTGTGTTTTCTGAAATGAGGTTTTACTTCCTCACTAGATGTAACAACACACACATCTTCTAAATAGTTTCACATTTGATCCTGACAATCCTCATTAGATTTCTCCAAAAGCCTTCAGCATCATCCAGAAGTCTGAGATGTTTCCCTTGCTTTTCATCAACCCTCCCGTGGCTGCCATATTTGCTGAAATAAACTAAAATAGATGACTTTGGGTAATCTTCAGATAAAATGTTTGCATTTTATTTTGGGGGTTGTGAGTGGAGATCTTTCACAAAGCTGACTGGAGTCCAGTCTGACACCAGTATCACTTAACAGACTTTTACTGAAGACGTGGTTTCAGTTTCAGTGCTGCTTGATTTAATGATTATACAAAACCATTCTAACAGATTTCAGTTAAACTATAACAAAATTATTTGTTTGGCTTTCTGAAAGTAAAACATTTGTGTTCTCAAAGTTTTTTCAACCTCAATTATAAACTGAAATGGATCATTTATGTTCTGTTGGTGGTAATAAATATATGTCAAAGAAAATGTTAGAATCTATTTGTAATTAATAAAAATATATTGCATAAAAATGTTTGACACGTTTTTCCTGAATATTTTTCCACTGGAAGCAGGCTTAGAGGGGAATAAAAAAGGAAATGATGAGAAAAAGGTATTTTAAAAGTTATGAAAAGTCACGAAGGGATTCTGAATAATTTATGATAAAAACATCTGAATAATGTACAACTAAACTGTGGGTTGAACTTAGTATTAACCTTACAAGTGTTTAGACTAAAGATCAATACACCGTTTATTGAAATGTTAATTTTCCTAAAACACATGAATTTATTAAGTTTTGGGCCATTATTGAGGGTTGGTCACAAGTGTGTTTTGTAGCAGCTGTGCCCTCTGCCCCCTGAGTCAACTTCCTCTTGTTAGCAGAATAAAAGCCCGACGCTGCTTGTGGTGGTTTGACCTGCTGACCCGATGCTTCAGAAAGAAAATCTGCAAAAACACTTTTTAAACAAACCTTCCCCTTCACATTTACGGCTTTACATAAACGTTTATGCTGATTCACACTTATATAAATAAAGAAAAACTTTCTGGGTCAAAAGTGCAAATATTTCTGTTCCTGTGCTTTTTGAGATAAAGCTGGCTAACGGTCTTAAGAGGAATCGTACCAAATGCCCCTTGTCACTGCGGCTCTGCTACAATCCTCACATTTACACACATACACACACACACACACACACACATTTGCTTCTCATCCTTAAAGTTACCATCAAGCTCCTGAACTTCCAGGGGAGCAGTTTCACTGCCCAGGAGCAGAAGCTCATTCTGCAATGAGATTCCAAGTCACATGCCAGAGTACTCGCATGAGCTTAATATCACAAATATAGCCGTTTCTAAAGATGGCTCAGTGTGAAACAGTCCATCTCACCTGCAAAAGACAGAAAAAGGGCATTAGAGCAAGTCAAAGAGCAGAGGCGATGAAGGTAACAGAGGATGACAGCAGCAGTGAGTCAGAGTCCCGCTAATCTTCCCAAATGGAGAATTTGATTGGTGAAAATTCAGAGTGAAGATGAGTCGGCGCAGGAATCCATCTTCACGCCTCTTGATGTTTCCTTTTCTTGTAAATAAAAGTACTTTCGCCTTCTCTGAGAACACAGGCTCCGGATTATGTAAAAGAGGGCAAAAGTAAAGTTATCCTACATGACTTCTGCAGGGCTCCTCCTTGAACCGTCACCTTATCGTGGTGGAGGAGTTTGAGTGCCCTAATGATCCTAGGAGCTATGTTGTCTGGGGCACTTAGTGCCCCTGGTAGGGTCTCCCATGACAAATTGGTCTTAGGTGAAGGGTGAGACAAAGAACGGTTCGAAGGATCTTTCATGGCGGTTAAAACGAAGAGTCGGAGTACCCGGCCCGGAGGGTTACCGGGGTCCCACCCTGGAGCCAGGCCTGGGGTTGGGGCCCGTGAGCGAGCGCCTGGTGGCCGGGCTTTCGCCCATGGGGCCCGGCCGGGCCCAGCCCGAACCGGATACATGGGCTCGTCCAACTGTGGACCCACCACCCGCAGGAGGAACATGAAGGGTCCGGTGCAATGCGAATCGGGTGGCAGACCAAGGCGGGAGCCTTGGCGGTCCAATCCCCGGACAAGAAAACTAGTTTTTGGGACATGGAACGTCACCTCGCTGGCGGGGAAGGAGCCGGAGCTTGTGGCAGAGGTTGAGCGGTACCGGCTAGATATAGTCGGACTCACCTCGACACATTGCATTGGCTCTGGAACCCGAGACCTGGAGAGGGGTTGGACACTCTACTTTGCTGGAGTTGCTCCAGGTGAGAGGCGGAGGGCTGGGGTTGGCTTTTTGTTAGCCCCGAGACTCTCTGCCTGTGTGTTGGGGTTTACCCCGGGGGACAAGAGGGTAGCTTCCTTGCGCCTTCGGGTCGGGGAACGGGTCCTGACTGTTGTTTGTGCTTATGGGCCAAATATCAGCTCAGAGTACCCACCCTTTTTGGAGTCCCTGGGACGAGTGCTAGATAGTGCTCCATCAGGGGACTCCATTGTCCTGCTGGGGGACTTCAATGCTCACGTGGGCAATGACAGCTTGACCTGGAGGGGTGTGATTGGGAGGAACGGCCCACCTAATCAGAACTCGAGCGGTGTTTTGTTATTGGACTTCTGTGCAAGCCGCAGTTTGGCCATAACGAACACCATGTTCGAACATAAGGATGCCCACCGGTACACTTGGTACCAGGGCAGCCTAGGTCACAGGTCGATGATAGATTTTGTAGTCGTATCATCTGACCTGCGGCCGTATGTTTTGGACACCCGAGTGAAGAGAGGGGCGGAGCTGTCAACTGATCACCACCTGGTGGTGAGTTGGATCAGATGGCAAGGGAACATGCCGCGTAGACCTGGCAGACCCAAACGCATAGTGAGGGTCTGCTGGGAACGCCTGGCAGAAGAACCTGTCAAGACGGTCTTCAACTCCCACCTCCGGCAGAGCTTTGACCACGTCCCGAGAGCAGTGGGGGACATTGAGTCCGAGTGGGCCTTGTTCCACTCTGCGATTGTCGAGGCGGCTGTTGCTAGCTGTGGTCGTAAGGTGGCCGGTGCCAGTCGTGGTGGCAACCCCCGTACCCGCTGGTGGACACCAGAGGTTCGGGGAGCCGTCAGGCTGAAGAAGGAGGCCTACAGGGCGTGGCTGGTCTGTGGGTCCCCGGAGGCAGCAGACAGGTACCGGATAGCCAAGCGGGGTGCAGCAGTGGCAGTTGCCGAGGCAAAATCTCGGGCGTGGGAGGAGTTTGGTGAGGCCATGGAGAAAGACTACCGATCGGCTCCAAAGAGGTTCTGGCAAACTGTCCGGCGCCTCAGGAGAGGAAGGCAGCAACTCGCTCACACTGTTTACAGTGGGGATGGGGAGCTGCTGACGTCAACTGAGGCTATAGTCGGACGGTGGAAGGAATACTTTGAGGAGCTCCTCAATCCCACCAATGCGCATTCCGAGGAGGAACCAGAGCTGGGAGGCCTGGGGATGGACTGTCCGATCTCGGGGGCAGAAGTTGCTGAGGTAGTCAAACAACTACACAGCGGCGGAGTCCCGGGGGCGGATGAGGTTCGTCCTGGGTATCTCAAGGCTATGGATGTTGTAGGGCTGTCATGGTTGACACGTCTCTACAACATTGCGTGGTCATCGGGGGCAGTTCCTAGGGAGTGGCAGACCGGGGTGGTGGTCCCCATCTTTAAGAAGGGTGACCTGAGGGTGTGTTCCAACTATAGGGGGATCACACTCCTCAGCCTCCCTGGAAAGGTCTACGCCAAGGTACTGGAGAGGAGGGTCCGATCGATAGTTGAATCTCAGATAGAGGAGGAGCAATGTGGTTTTCGTCCTGGCCGTGGAACTGTGGACCAGCTCTATACCCTTGCAAGGGTGATGGAGGGGGCATGGGAGTTTGCCCAACCAATCCACATGTGCTTTGTGGATTTGGAGAAGGCTTATGACCGTGTCCCCAGGGGCACCCTGTGGGGGACGCTCCAGGAGTATGGGGTGGGGGGCTTTCTGTTAAGGGCCATTCAGTCCCTTTACCAGAGGAGCGTGAGTTTGGTCCGCATAGCCGGTAGTAAGTCGGACCTGTTCCCAGTGAGGGTTGGACTCCGCCAGGGCTGCCCTTTGTCACCGGTTCTGTTCATCACTTTTATGGACAGAATTTCTAGACGCAGCCGTGGTGTGGAGTGTGTCGAGTTTGGTGGCAGGAGAATCTCGTCTCTGCTTTTTGCGGATGATGTGGTCCTCCTAGCTTCATCCAGCTCTGACCTTCAGCTCTTGCTGGGTAGGTTCGTGGCAGAATGTGAAGCGGCTGGGATGAGGATCAGCACCTCCAAATCTGAGATCATGGTTCTCGACCGGAAAAGGGTGGCTTGCCACCTCCGGGTCGGGGGAGAGGTCCTACCTCAAGTGGAGGAGTTTAAGTATCTCGGGGTCTTGTTCACAAGTGAGGGTAGGAGGGATCGGGAGATCGACAGGCGGATTGGTTCGGCGTCTGCAGTGATGCGGACGCTGAGCCGATCTGTCGTGGGGAAGAGGGAGCTGAGCCAGAAAGCCAGGCTCTCGATTTACCGGTCGAACTACGTCCCAATCCTCACTTATGGTCATGAGCTTTGGGTAATGACCGAAAGAACGAGATCGCGGATACAAGCGGCCGAAATGAGTTTCCTTCGTAGGGTGGCCGGGCTCAGCCTTAGAGATAGGGTGAGGAGCTCGGACATTCGGGAGGGACTCGGAGTAGAACCGCTGCTCCTCCGGATCGAAAGGAGCCAGTTGAGGTGGTTTGGGCATCTGGTCAGGATGCCTCCTGGACGCCTCCCCGGGGAGGTGTTTCGGGCATGTCCTGCCGGCAGAAGGCCCCCGGGTCGACCCAGGACACGTTGGAGAGGTTACATCTCCAATCTGGTCCGGGAACGCCTTGGGGTCCTGCCGGAGGAGCTGGTGGACAAGGCCGGGGAGAGGACGGCCTGGAGCTCCCTAATTGGGATGCTGCCCCCGCGACCCGGACCCGGATAAGCGGAGGAAGACGAAGACGAAGACGAAGACTTCTGCAGGGGAAATGGCTACAGTAGAAAAACAGTGATGCTTATAATCCTTTTTTGCTTTCTTTGTATATCATCAGCCAACCCGAGTCATTTCCCTCATTAATTATGAACTAAAACCTGCCTTAATTCCCTCACTCATGTTTCCTGGATATGAAACTGGTTATTTTATATGAGAGCTGCCGCTTTAGGGTCAAATGTGGATTCTGGAAATTTTACATTTTACCTGTTAAAAAAACGTGTTAATGGACGGAGGCTGATTTATTTCTTCATTAAAAAATAGAAAGTCCCACATTAGTTTTAACTGGAGCTGAACTGCTAATCAGATTTCCATCCAGGCAGAAATAGGAGTTTACACATATTGTGGCTAAACTGGTAGATTATTGCTAATGTTAAATTCATTTTAAAACATCTGGCTTTTTAATTAAAAAAATAAAGGATATTTTAATTAACGCTTTAAGAACTTGAATAAAAAGCTGTGATAAAGATTGTATGTTAAAAAATTGAAATGATCTTTGATTTTAGAGACAACAGAGTGAACGCATTCATGTGATCACTGTAAAAGGCTGAAAGCTGCTCTGAAATGCATCGCTCTCAGAGGCCGTGTGTTATAAATCTGTCTGAGCTCTGCCCGCCGTGAGTCATTGCCATTTTTGCAGGGACGTCACCGTTTCCTAAATGTATTTTGTCTCGCTCCACTGCAGCAGCACCAACCTGACTTCTGATGGCAGTAAAGATGAAAGAAAACTGGCCAAAAAGAGAAGAAGAGGGGAAAGAGAGACGGAATGACTCAAAACAGGGGAAATGGGAGAAGCCACGCGTTCAAATGAAGTAACAAAAGATTCCTGGAGCTTCACTGACTTTGTTCTTCAGTGGATTTGCAACAGATGTCTTCTTTTATTCCACAGACTTGTTAAAAGTGTGGTGGCATCTTCATCCGCTCAGCTTTGCTGAGTCAGCCTTCATCCCCTCACAACTCCTAAATACATATTTTATGTTTCTGCCATGTTGTTTTCCACTTCATTGTAGCCGCCTTTCATTTCAGAGATCGATGCACAAATATAAACTATTAAGACAAACTCTCTCTTCAATTGGGGATCCAAATAAAACAATTTAAAGGTGCCTTCATTCTCCTGGCTGGACTCTACTGCTGCCTCCACATTAGTAAATAATACACACACACACACACACACACACACACACACACACACACACACACACACACACACACACACACACACACACACACACGCGCACACACACACACACACACACACACACACACACACACACACACACACACACACACACACACACACACACACACTCAGAAATGCATCAACTCAGTGACACACACATTCACCCACAGTGCAGTGCATGCAGGTGCAGAACACACTCACATTCAACAGCAGCTCTCAGCAACTTTTCATGTGCAAGCATACGGATCAGGCAGCAGGATACTCGAACTGAACAAGTCTGTTCCACCGCAGTGGGACAGAAGGAGAGGCTGGGGAAGGAAGTGGGGAGGGGAAAACATTTCAACTGTTGGGGGACTAGACAAGACAAATCTGAGCGTCTGAGGTCAAACCAAAGGCTAAAATTAT